AGGAGGAGGAGGAGGAGGAGCAGGAGGAGGAGGAGCAGGAGGAGGAGCGTGAGAGTGGCCACTGTGCTGAGTCCTCCTCTGTGGGGCATGGGCGGGGCCCTCAGCCCCCATTCTCACATTGCCCCCTGCACCTTGTGGTACCAACATCTGTGCCAGGTGCTGGGAACGACACAGGAAGCAGGAGGAGGAAAACCTGCCCTCTCGGCCCTGGTGCCCAGCAGGAAGCCAGGCCACACGAGGGACCAAGGACAGTTTAGGGCGTCTGCTCTGGCACCTGAGCGTGGGAACATCAATGGGGGGCGTGGCTGCAGACGCCAGGAGCTACCCTGCAAGGCACAGGGACTGCAGGCCAGGCCGCCTCCCTCCATGGACTCAGCAAGCGGCTCTCAGTGCCGAATGACTGCAGGCGCTGAGGATGGGTCCCTGAGCCAGGGAGCACAGGTGTGCGTGGGCCTGCATCCATCGGCAAACAGGAAGCCATCAGGAAGCGGATATAAGGGAGTGCAAAGGCGGTGGGGGGAACCCCAGTAGCTACCCCCAGGCTGCTTCTGTGGCAAGGCAGGGCTGGCAGAGAGCAGCTTAGCAGAAGCCAGCAAGGGTGGGAGACATTTGTCCCGTGGCTGGCCACTGGCTGTCCCAGGCCTGTCCTGTGCAAGGAGGGAGCTCGCTGGGGGCCCTTGGCCTGTATGTCCCCGAGGGAGACTCACCCTTTCCGGGGCTCCCGTGATGTCTGTGAAGTCTGCAGACAGCAGCCACGTTGCTAACCCAGCCGAGCAGTGGAGGTTCCCTCGTGTTGCTGGGAGCCGTGTTCTTTGGGGTTCTGGGGTCCAGGGCGGGCGCCCAGGGGAGGCAGAGCATGGGTGGGTTAGCAACTGAGCTGTCCCCAAGAGCAGCTGGGGCCTGGCCTTGTGCTCCAGGTCCCAGCAGTTGGGCAAGGCAGGCCAACCACCAAGTGCCCGGCTGCACACTCAGCCCGCAGGCCCCGCGGTTGGCTGCGAGCCGAGCGTTTGCAGGATTTCCCAGCACTTGTGCTTTGGCACAGCAGCCGGCAGCCAGGCTGGCCGGGGAGCTGGGTGGTAGAGGCGACACCCGCCACACGCGGGCACACCACAGTGTGTGTGCACGAGCACGTGAGTCCCCACCACCCGCGCCCTGCTGATTTGTCCGCCCCGCGTGCAGTGCAGGGTCCGAGAGCTGGAGGAGAAATGCTGGGCGCAGAGTGAGCAGTTCCACCTGCTGTCGCGGGACCTGGAGAAGTCCCGGCAGCACGCCGGGAAGACTGACCTGCTGAGCGGCGGCGCGGCGGCCCCTGGCAAGGCCTTCCCGCCGTTCATGAATGGGCTCGCCACCTCCCTTGGCAAGGGTGAGTGCGGGCGCCCCACCTGGCCCTGGGGGAGGGTCCCGGGCTCGGGACGCTGTGCCAGGAAGGAAGGCTGCGTGGCCACAGCTGGCCCGGGCCGGAGGACAGCACAGGATGCTGAAGCCCATGCCTTGCGCGGACCATGGGTGTCGGAGCACCTTGCTGCGTCCACAGCACAAGGTGCCAGTCTAGCCTTGGGCCCACATCACAGAGGAGAAGCCGAGGAGCTGGGGCTCACATGGCGCACACCTGGGGCCTGGCTTGGGGTCCACGCTGGTGCCCTATGTGGCTTTATCATCTGGTCCCTGACGCTGTGCGTGGCACGTGCTGCCTGAGCGCTTCCCCTTCTTCCGTCCCAGCCTGGCGATGTCCCTGGGACTTCTGCTCCCACAGGGGCAGCAGCAGGCACGTGGTGACTTTGCCCTCACCCCATCTCGGTTTAGGAGGCCGAGCAGGAGCAGCAGGCTCCACTGCGTCCTGCACGTGTGTTGTGGACTCTGGCCACGGTCCTGGGTACCCTGGAACCGGACCTCGTGGGTCAGCCACATGCTCCTGGGGAGATGCTAACCGGGACGCCAGGCGGAGACGGGCCGCGGCCCTGCCTGGCCACTTGTTTGCAGAGTTGATTTTATTTTCTAAGTTTAGGGGAGATGAGTGTCAGAATCTCTCTCTGGATTGTCATAGTCAATTTACACCTTGCTCCTGATTCTTGGCACTCCAGGACGAGCAGCTTCCGGGGCAGTTTGTTAGAGGCAGTCCCGCCGCTGGCCGACCTTGGCCCTACGCCTCCCTCCCTCCGCTCTTCCTTCCGCACAGGCGTGGGAGAGTGGGCACCAGGGTCAGGGCTGGGCCGGGGCTGAGGAGGATGAAGGTGTCCCTGCCTCACCCTTGTCTGGAGCCGAGGGGAAGTCGGTGGACAGGAGGTGGGGCTTGGCCTCCGATACACTCCCCCATGAGTGCCGCGCAGCCCCTCCATCCCTGTGGAGGCCCTCGGAGGCCTGTGCCACGCTCTATGGGGTGCAGGCACCCGGATCCGGCTACCAGAGGGAAAGCCACACGTGTGCCTGTGGAGGCCCAGCCAGTGTCTCCATCTGTCGGGGACATTTCCTGCCAGTGTGGGGCACATTTGGGGCGTGGAGTTGGCAGGTGCACCAGCAGGGCCCAGACCCACATGAGGACACTTGTGCATGGCGTTCAGACGTGAGCTGCAGGCAGACCAGGCTGGCAGGTGTTTTCCTGGGGAGTCTGGAGGTCGAGCGGGGAAGAGGGACGCTGGTTAAGGCCCACATCCTATTTCCCCCGGGGTATGTGCTTGTGGCTGTGGCGTTTACTCTGACAGCTCAGATTCCAGCCCTAACCACCCCCAAGAAGTATTTTACTTTCATCGTCTTTCTATTGCTCCAGTGTGTCGAGCCTTTGGAAACAAAGGACACCATTCTATTTACAGTACTTGTACTTAGCAGTGTTATTTGTATTTACAAGGTATATTAATTCTCCAACGCTGAAAATTAAGCAAGCTGTAACTTTTTTCTAAGTGGGTTGGGAAATGGGTTTAAAAACAACCTCTTCCCCTTCCTCTTAGCGAATCTGTATACAGCATGGCATTGTTACTATTTTTAAGTTTTACAAATGGCACCTGAGCCGTACCTGTGCAGATGTGTGAGCTCCAGTGGTAACCCTGGTCACGCACACGTCCCTGCACGGGGGCAGTGTGCACCGTCCCTGAGCCTTGCGGGTGTGCTGGGAGCGGTCTCTGCAGAGCATGTGGGGCAGAGCTGAGCCCTGGCCCCCTCTGCTGTCCGCCCTCTCCTCTGTGTGCGGGCACCAGACGGTGGCACTGTGGCACTGTGGCACTGTCCTGGGTTAGATCTCGGGCAGTCACTCCGGGGGAAACCGTGGCTCCAGGCCCACACCAGTGTCTCCGCCCCGCCTGGCCCTGCCCTCTGGTTTTAGGGTGTGGCTCTGTTGCCCAGCCCCTTCCCTCACAAAAGGGAAGAGGTTTGTGGGGTGCAGGGCTCCCTTCTTTTGAAGGCAAACCCCGCTCTGTTGAGCACATGCTGCACACTTTTTTGTCCCTTCCTGCCCACAGACCTTCCCCTCTGCGGGACCTGGGGGCGGGGGTGATGGGAAAATGCGGGGTGGCCACCAGCTCTGGGAAGACCCAGCCGGGTTCTGCCACTCCACCTGTTTGTGGCCAGGCTCCTCGCGCACACCTGAGGGCGCCGGGCAGCAGTGAGCTGAGCGGGAGCCCAGCAGGGCCTGACGCTAGGTAGAGCCTGGTCCCACGTGAGCGGAGGTCAGGGTGCCAGGGGAGAGGTCAGAGTCACGCTCAGAGATCGGGAGGCATCCCAAGGGCGAGTTGGATGGAACACCACTCCCCAGCCACATCCCCTCCGGAATAGCGCTGGGAGCTCCTGGGGACCACGGTGCGGCCCAAGGCTGTGTAGACGCTGGAGTCATGATAGTGTGAGGTGCGACAGCTTGCTCGAGGGCCTGTGTTTGAGCCTTAGTCACTTTCTCGTCGCTGGAACGCAATGCCCAACACCCACAAACTAAGGGAGGAGAGGTTCAGTCCGGGACCTGCTCTCTCCAAGGCAAGGTGGCACTGCACAGGGGCCTGGCGGAGGAGAGCTCCTCAGCACGGAGGATGGGAAGCGGAGAGAAGGGAGGAGCTGGGAGGGAGAAGAGCCCTTCCAGGCCACGCCCCCGGTGACTGCCCCTTCCGGGCAGCCGGCCAGCTTCAGCCCCAGGATCCAATCACCTTCCAGCAGCCCCACGTACGAGCGCTTGTGGCTTTGGGGACGTCTAGGCGTAAACCCTAGCAGTCTGACCCATGTTTGCTGGTCTAGGGGAATGGCAGGAAAAAGCTGCTGCATCCAGTCCTCTTTCCCCAGGGAACTGGCTGTGCAAGTTAGAGGGGACACAGGCGATTTTGCAGTCTGTGTCATCAGCTACCTCTGTCGCCAGCACAGGGCGTGGGGCAACTGGGCTCCCCTCTGCTGCGGTGTCGGCAGACCCCAGTCCCTGGCATCATAGCTCAGGCCTCTGTGCTCACATGTGTCTGTCTCAGGCTCCAGACCGGGTCTTCCAGGCAACCCAGCGAGGGCAGCAGCACCTGGGTCTGCAGGGCAGTCCTGGGCACTGCCAGTCCTCAGGGCGGGGGAGTGCCGAGCCCCCAGTGGGCATGCATGTGCAGCTGCTGTGCTCCCAATGTGGCTTTGGGCAGGTGGGAGGCAGCTGTCCCCAGGTCTCTGCCCGCCACACTTGGTCAGCCTGGAGCTGCAGGGCTCCATGCAGGTGGTCTGTGTGATTCAGGGCCTGTAATCACGAACAGCAAGCCAGCTTCTCCCCAGCTATGGCTCCTGTCTCTGAGCTTTCCTCTTCCTGGTGATAAAAGGGCTGCAGTGTCGCCGAGCCTCATAGCTCCTCCACTTTAAGCCAAGGAACATGAAAGCCTCTTTGCCAGGGATTCCCACTAATCCCTCTGACTGGAGCCCCATCCTGTGGACCCCTGATGCCAGGTGGGCACTGCTGGGTGGATGGGGCCAGGGCGGGCTCAGGGCAGATCAGCTGCTGCGGTTTCCACATCTTGTCTCCTTTCTCCAACGGCTCCATGCTCCCCACCAGGTCACAAGGGATCCGCTGGGCGTTACTCTGTGATCAGTGACCACATCCCACTCCCCGGGGACCAGCCAGAGCCCCTGTCTGCCGAGCCCGGCTTTCTGTCACGATCCAGCAGCCCAAGATGCAGATTTGAGTCCGACGTGAGTCCTCCCGCTGGCTGGCGCCGTGTCCTCTGCATCCCCAAGGACGCCCTGCCCGTGTTTCCAGTGTCCTCCCTCTGCCTCCTTTCGATTCCTGAGCATCCTTCCTGCCTGTGCCTGAGCTGGGGTCCCAGGCAGGCCAGGTGGCCGTGCGGTGGGCAGGGACCACGCTGTCCGGCCAGCCCTTCCCACCCCACGATTGTCCCTAAACAGCTGTAGGGCTCGTAAGGAGGTGGGTGGCTCAATCCCCCACCTGGGAAGGGATCCGGGCCCTCGTGTCGCCTTTCCTGTGTGCCAGGCACCATCAGAGTCTGGAGGGCAGCCTCTTTCCCCACCTGACACCGGAGGGCGGCGGACATGGATTGGGGTGTCGGCGGGCAGGTTGCCACCTCGTGGCATCTGTGGTCTGGGTCCGCTTCCCAGAGCCCTCGAGTCGTGGCAGGGTTCTGTGTGTCCCAGGCAGGGGACAGTGCAGACTGAGGTCCTCCTAGCACACACACGTGTCTCCACAGATGGACAATGAACGGAACTCCAATACCTCGAAGCAGAGATACTCGGGGAAGGTCCACCTGTGTGTTGCCCGCTACAGGTAAGCGCCAGATGCTGAGAACATGGATGTGACACCACACTCTCAGAGCGGGGTGCAGCATGGCTTGGGGTTCAGGGGCTCAGGCCCATGTGTGTTGCTCCAAGCTGGGAACATCCAAGTGGAGCTGCTGGGGGAGCAGAGAGAATCAAACTGCAGAGGCACAGCGGGGCCACGCCAGGGTGGAAGGTGCCAGGGGCTAGGTCTGGTCCCCAAGGCCATGCCTGCCTCCACCGCCTCGACACACCAGAGTGTGCCCAGGATTGCAGGTGCCAGCCCTGCAGCCTCGGCGGCCGGGGGCGAGCTCTGGGAGGAGCAGATTCCCACACTGAGCCTCACAGTGTGAGTCTCCAGGCTGCAGGCCCTGACGGCCGCAGATGTGCTGGACGCACATATCCTGCTCCTGCAGCGGTGCGGCTTGCGGCCTGAACTGAGGTGCCCCTTCCTCCCCTGGGGCGTGTGTCCCTCTGCCTGCGCCACCTCCACATCTGCAGAGACTATGCCCCAGTGGGGATAGGGGCACAGCTCAGCCCACAGCGGGCAGCAAAGGGGTGTCATGGAGTGGAGCGCGGCCCAGAGCCCTGGGGGAGGGCTTCCCAGTGTTCTCCTGCTCAGCCCTCCTTCCTGGCTCCTGCCGCGCCCAGCTGTCTCTCCCAGGACCTGTGGCGTGTGTCCTGGGAGCTGATGCTGCCAGCCCAGGCCCCTCAACTCTTGACTGGGAAGATGGCTGGCAGCCTGGTCAGCAGCGCAGCCGGGCCCCGCTGTGTCCACAAACAGATGTGAGCCAGAGTCCCTGATGGCTCCTGCCCCCGAGGCTCAGCGGCCTCTGTCCTTGGCTGTACCCATGATTGACACGCAGAGCAGCCAAGGGCCCCAGAGGACTTGGACAGGAAGCGGACGCTCTGCCCCAGGGCTGGTGCCTGGCTGCTGCCCTTGCGGGGTGGGTGGAGGACGAGGTACCAGGAGCTGTGGCCGCAGGTGTGAGGCTGTCCTCCCTGCCCTGGGCCCAGGCCACGCTGGGCGGATGACTGCATCATGGCTCATCTGCAGGCTGTTGCCTCTGCCTTCCTCAGCCAGGGTGGCTGCCGGCGGCCCTCCTGCCGACCACGGACCATGGCGCGGCTTGCTGCCGATTGGGAATCTACCGATTTCCCACCGGGCAGGCCGATGACAAGCACAGCGGCCATGGCCGTCAGGGCCACCCTGGGTGGTGGCTTCCCCACCGCGGCTCCCGTCACACTGTCTTGGGAATAACAGCTTTGCTTTCCTGGCTGAGGTTTAACGGCGATCAGCTAAAACACGGACAGGATGGCGTGGTCGGGTCAGCACCTTGGAGAAGCAGCAGGCCGATCTCTACTTTCTTGTTTTTTGGTACCAGGAATCGAACTCAGGGCCTTACGATTGCCAGGCAGGTGCTATGCCGCTGAGCTATATTCTTGGCCTAGGGATTTCTTCCCTTTTTTTCTGATACTGGGGATTGAACTCAGGACCCTGTGCTGGTCAGGCAGGTGTGGCACCACTGAGCTACTTGCCAGGGCCCTCGCGTCTGTTTCCTTCTTGAGCCTTTTTCTGTTACTTGGACATTCCAAGTTCATCTTAGTTCATTTTGTTATAAATGCTAACCCCAGTGTTGAGGACCGAAGGGTGTGCACGCTCCTGTTCCCGGTGGCTGTGCTCAGCAGGGCATGTTGACAGCACATACCCAAGACTAAACAATGCCCATACCTTGACCAGGCAAAGACTCCTGGGATTTATCTTTAGGGAGAAGTTGTAGAAGTGTGCAGATATATGTGTGGAAGGGTATTTGATGCAGCACTGAATACATTGGTCAAGTCGGGAATAACATCAATGCTGGACATCAAGGAAAATGCTACCTTGTTTGGTAGAATACTATACACCCACTAAAAATGGCATGGCAGAATGTTTTGTGAGGTGGAAATATAGATTACTGCATGGTGAAATAAACTAAGCAGAGTGCTAAGAGGTGCATGTAGGTTTCCACCTTAGCTAAGTTGTGTGTAATGATTACAGGACCCATTTCCTTTCTGTTTGCTCATTAACTTGGAAACACATAGTTATGGAGGAAAAGGCAAGGAACCACGGTGTGGAAATCACACGCTGTCCTCAGCTGTGCGCTGCCGCAGAATTCCCTTCCTCGCTCGGAGCGAGGGAGCGGGTGGTGGCCCGAGTTCACAGGGCCCTGAGGACTCGGCAGCCCATTGTCCTGTGGGTTCGTCCCCCTGCTTCAGGCGGGTCCGGGGAGGCAGAGCAGCCCCACCCAGGGCAGCTGACACGCCTTGTGCTCTTTCTCCAGTTACAACCCCTTCGATGGGCCCAATGAGAATCCCGAAGCTGAGCTGCCTCTCACGGCCGGAAAATACCTCTATGTCTACGGGGACATGGACGAGGACGGCTTCTATGAAGGTCTCTGGGCGGGGCTGTGGCGGGAGACTTGTGGGCTCCTGATGGCGTGGCCATTGGCCTCCACTTTGCCCTCCCATGCCTCCGAGCTTGCAGGGTCCCCTCACGGTGTCCCCCAGAGTGTGGGGCACCTGGCTCATTGGCTGGGGGCTCCCAGGGGGCCTCAGCTGCTGCTGAGATGTCAGGAGCACTGACCCAGGCACTGGGAGTTGGACCTCGAGGCAGCACCGTGGCTCTGGGTGTGCTGTCCACTGAGTCACACGCCCGTGTAGGTGCATGTGCCCAACACAGCTGCCAGAACCAAGCCCTTGCTGAAATCTCTGCAGCATTCCCACCGTGCTTATTAGGGTGCGTAGTCAGTGTGACCCTTCATCTCTCGGCCTCGGTTTTCTCTGCTGGAGAGTGGAGGCAGCAATAGGGTCCACCTCAGAGGGTGACGGGAGGACGAATGAGGTGCTGGATAGGAAATGCTTGGGGTGGAGCCTGGCACATAGCAGCTGCTCAGTAAAAGTCAGCTATCACCACTATCACCGGCATCAGACTGACTTCAGGGCGTAGAATTAGCTACCTCAAGACCCATTCCCCGGCTGGGTCCGGGATGAGCTCTAAGTTCTTTACCCAGATAGAACCAGGGCTGCTAACGTGGTGGACAGGCCCTCTGCAGGGTGGGCGTGTGCACAGGCTGGCTGCAGCGCTCTGGTCCCCGAGGCAGGGTGTGCTGTGCTGGAGCAGAATCCGCATCCGGTGTCTCCCAGGCTCCCGGGGGCCCGGTGTCCTGGGGTGACAGTGGAATACGCCTCCCCTGAGCTCGGTGCTGGAAGCCGCGCGCCCGCACGCCTGGTCTCCGAAGCCCTCCACACACTCGCCCACGGCCAGGGCCTCTGCTGAGGCAGCCTGTGAACCCATTCACCAAGACCCCAGAGACATTAGACTGGTTCGTAACACAAAAGCCCCCACTGCCATGTGTAGCCACTGTTTAGCAACTTGGATAGCAACTGTTTTTGTCCCTTGACTTACCAACAGCTGTGACACCAACTGGAGTTCCATCTCGCATCAGGTAGACATATTCACTTGCTTTGCAGGGGTCAGGCACATTGCCCTCTATTTCTCACTGGGATCCATGGCGCCCGGGAGACTGCTGATTCACCTCCCAGAGCATGATGCGACATGTTCGTTCATCCATCTAACGTTTACTGAGCACCTGTTGGGTGCCGGGGTCACGCAGGGTGGGCGCTGGGGCCTGCAGTCCCTGCCCTCGGGCGGCATCCTGTCAGGGACGGTTCCTGCCTGCCCAGCACCCGGGCAGATGAGCACGGTGGGCCTGGTGGCGGAAGCCAGACTGCAGGCTGGGGGCTCAGTGAGATAAGGCGTGTGGGTCACCCTGCAGTGGGGTCCACTGTCCAGGTCCTGCTGTGCACTGGGATGGCTCTGTGACACCTGTCCTTGTGCCTGCAGGAGAGCTCCTGGACGGGCAGAGGGGCCTGGTGCCCTCCAACTTCGTGGACTTCGTCCAGGACAGCGAGTCGCGGTTGGCCGGCACCCTGGGCACCGAGCAGGACCAGAACCTCCTCAACCACTCGGGCGTGGGTGTGGGTTTGGGCCTGGAGGGCGAGAGCATCCTGGACCTGCACTCCCCAACCCACGCGGACCCAGGCATCACTGACATTGGCAGGGGGCCGCTGGACACGAACATCGACGACGTCGGAGGAGACATCGTGCCTTACCCCAGGAGGCTCGCCCTGATCAAACAGCTCGCCAAGAGCGTCATCGTGGGCTGGGAGCCCCCGGCCCTGCCGCCTGGCTGGGGCACCGTGAGCGGCTACACTGTGCTGGTGGACACGGAGCCGCGCCTGAGCCTCCCGCTGGGCGCCAGGACCAAGGCCCTGGTGGAGAAGCTGGACACGGCCACCTGTACCTACCGCATCTCCGTGCAGTGCGTCACCAGCCGGGGCAGCTCGGACGCGCTGCAGTGCACCCTGCTGGTGGGCAAGGACGTGGTGGTGGCCCCCTCACACCTGCGGGTGGACAGCATCACGCAGATCTCGGCGCAGCTGTCCTGGCTGCCCACCAACAGCAACTACAGCCACGTCATCTTCCTCAATGAGGAGGAGTTCGACGTGGTCAAGGCGGCGCGCTACACGTACCAGTTCCTCAACCTGAGGCCCAACATGGCCTACAAGGTCCGGGTCCTGGCGCGGCCTCACCAGATGCCCTGGCAGCTGCCCCTGGAGCAGCGGGAGAAGAAGGAGGCCTCGGTGGAGTTCTCCACGCTGCCCGCAGGTGAGCCGTGTCCCGCTGTGGGCCCAGGAGAGCGGCCGGAGCTTGCCCACACACAAGTGTGCCTGGGATCCGGGCTGAGCGTCCCTCTGCTTGTGGTGATAAACCACACCAGCGTGGTCCTTGCGAGGGGACAGGGTCCCAGTCCCTCGGTCACGCTCGGGGGCCAGGAAAGATGGCTTGCCTGCCCAGCTTGCTTCATGGCAGAGCACCATGCGATCACGGCTCTCGTGTGTGATGCTTTGTTCACCTTGCGAGCATCTGTCCACACTGTCCTAGCTGGACCTCTGGTCTGTCCAGCTGGATTAATCCAGTCCAGTCTGAGCCCGTTGGTGACAGTGTTACCGATGATCCCCTTGTTCCCTTCCTTATCATTGCCCCAACAACATGAAACCTTCCAGTTGTCCGTGTGGGCTGGTTCTCCAGCCCTAGCGCGCTCAGGAGCATTTGGGATCACGGGAGAGTCCATGTGGCAAGTGCAGGAGACTCCTGAGGGCTCTGAAGAGTCCCCGAAGTCCCCACCTCTGACAGACAGGACCGTTTTGTGTGCCCAAGAAGAGGGTGCTTTGGCAGAGGTTGAGGAATGGGGGCAGGAAGACAGGTCGCCATCCGCGCCGTCTGTGCTGTCAGGTACAGCAGTAGGGAGTTCGTTTGTATGTATAATCTGCTGTTACTATTCTTCTGTATCAGTACCTGTTTGTGGTACTTAACGACTATGTACTTCCATTGTGGGGAGTTGGTACATGAACACTTCCTTCCTGTTTGCAAAGGATCTTCCGGTTTTCTTTTGTCTGTCTTTTGTTTGGCTCTTTATTTATACTTTGGATTTCTCATATGAAAGAAACCATTGTGTCTGATTTATTTTACTTGACATTATGGCCTCAAGGTGCATCCATTTTCCTGTAAATGACTCAAATTTATTCTTTATAGCAGGGTATGTTGTGTTGTACATAAATACCACACAATAGATAATACCTTTACCCATTCATTTGTTGATGGACAAATAGGCTGCTCCCAAGATTTAGTTACTATGAATTGCACTGCTATGAACATGGGTGAGCATGGATCACTGTGACATGTTTTTAACTCTTCAGGAAGACATCTAGTAGGGGAATATCTGAGACGAATGTAATTTCTGGTTTTAGTTTTCTGAGGAATCTCCGCACTGACTTCCACAGTGGTTGTACTAGTCTACACTCCCACCAACAATATAGAAGGGTCCTTTTTCCCCACAGCCTCGACAGCACTTGCTGTTATTTGATTTCTTTATGACAGCCATTCTTTCTGGAGTAAGATGGAATCTCAGTGTTATTTTAGTTTGCCTTTCTCTAGTGGCCAGTGATGTTGAACCTCCCTTCATGTATTTATGGGCCTTTTACACTTCTTCTGACAAGTGACTATTTCACTTGCCCAGTTTTTGATTGGGTGTTTTATTTTGGGGGGGGGTTCTAATTTTTTGAGTTTTTTTATACATTCTAAGTATTAGTCCTCTGTCTGAGGTATGGCTGGAAAATTGCTCTTCTGTAGGTGGTCTCTTCATCCTTCTGGTTGCTTCCTTTTGCTTGCAGAAGCCTTTCACTTTGATGTGATCCTATTTGTCGATTCTTGATGTTATTTCTTGTACAATTGGAGTTCTATTCAGAAAGTCCTTGCCTATGCCTATGCCTTCCAGAGTTTCACCTATTTTATCTTTCAGCAGATTAAGTGTTCTGTTTTCATATTTAGATCAGTGATGGCAAACCTTTTAGAGACCGAGTGCCCAAACTGCAACCCCAAATCCAGTATTTATCGCAAAGTGTCAACACTGCAATTAAAGCTGAATACTGAGGGTTTAGTTTAGAAAAAACGACTCCTATGCCAACAACTTTTGTTTTGAGAGAGAAAAAAGAAAAACAACACATGTGCACGGGCTCACCACACTGATTCGATCTTTGATCGTTGTGCGAGTTCTTTATCTTTGTTTCCGGGTCCAGTGTGGAAGAATACCATGGTTTCTTCATCAGTTCTTCTGTTGATGTGCCCTGGGCTGGCTTCTGGCTGACAGAAATAAACACCGGGGAGGAACTGTCCACTTTTTCACCATTGACGATGATGTTATTTGGAAGAATTCTGAAACGTCCCTCACCAGTGTCAGGAACTTCCTATCCTGAGTGCTGAGAGTTTTATCCGGAGTGGATGAGAACTTTGGCAGTTTGTCCAGCTGCCGAGTCCGGATGCTCCCTGTTTGATTGCCGTGGATGGTGAATGACCTTACTTTGGGAGGGGCCAGCCTTGCCCTCCTGGGTGCACGCCATGCAGCCCTGCCGTGCTGTTTCTGACGCACGGCCATTAGAACTGCTGGTCTTTGCTGAGGGCTCTTTCATCTCCACTCACTCACGAAGAACGCAGGTCTGTAATCTGAGCCCTCACAGCGTCCTTGGCTTTGGCACCAGAGCCGTGCGTGGGTCCTGAGAATTGTGGTTTTTGTCGTTTTTGTAATATCTGGAAGAAATTTAGTAATATCAGTATTATGCCTAGCCTTTGTGTTGGATAGAATTCATCAGTGAAATCATTTAGACCTGGAATTTTCTCTGTGAAAATGTTTTAAATTCCAAGTGCAATTATTTAATAGATTTAGGGTCATTAGGATGCTTCTATTTCTTCATTTCTTAGTTTGGATAAGTAGTTCTTCAAGTTATTTCCCCATTTCATGGGAATTGTCTGATTTTTCCTATAAAATCGATCATAGTATTACTATGAACTTTACATGTCTTTGGATGTATAGTAATGTCTCCTGAATTTTTAGTGGTAATTTATGCTTTCTCTTCAATTTGCACAGATGTATTTATTTATTTATTATTATTATTATTTTGGGTACCTGGGATCGAACTTGGGACCTTGCGCTTTCGAGGCAGGCGCTGGAACCACTGAGCTAAATCCCCGGCCCGGACGTATTTATTTTATTAATGTATTCAAAACTGTAACTTTTTGCTTGGTTGAGTTTTCTGTTTTTTATAATTTTATACCTTATTGATTCACACTCATTTCTTCTATTTTTTCTATAGATGTTGGGTTTAACTTGCTCTTCTAATCCTGTGTTTTCCAAGCAAAAACTTAGATTGTTTATTTAAAAGTGTCCTTTTATAGTATAAGTATTTAGACTTACAAATACTTTTATATTTAGCCATAGTCCACAATATATGATACATTCCCTTCCCATTATCATGAGTTTCAAGTATTTTCTGATTCCTTGTGTAGGGTAGGGTCGGGTCTTCATGCACATTTGCAAGTTTATTTGCAAGTGAATTGATTTCTAAGTACTTGAGGGTTTTCAAAGAAGGTGACGTGTTGCTGTTACTGAGTTCGGACTGAATGACTTTGGGATCAGACAGAATACTGTCTGAGTTGTCTTCTCAGAGGTGTGGAGACTCAGGCATGGGGAGAGCTCGCTTTCGGCCCAGAACACCGGTCCTATCGTGAGTTCCGGGCATCATTGGAAGAGCAGGTGTGTTGTCCAGGGCTGGTGTGGCATGGCACGGGTAAAGTGTGCTTAGGTCACGTTGTGTAACAGAGCTCCTCAGGCCTTCCCTGTCCGTGTTGGGTTTTGTTTCCTTGATCTTTCAGTTCTTGGGCGCAATCACCTATCTGTTTAATTCTGTCTTTAATTTTGCTTCGTGTATCCTGAAGCCCCATTGGCAGCAGCGGGCACACTAAGAACCGCTGGAGCACTCCCTTCTCTCCATGCAGAGTCCTCCTTGTCTCTGGTCTGGTTTCTGTCTGGAATTCTCCTGCCCGCTCTTCATGTGGTCATGTGCTTTGAGCTACACATGTCTTGTTCTACGCTTTGTGTTTAAACCCTTGTGCTTTGTGTTGTAAGTGTGTCCCTTAGAACTAGTCTGTCGCTGGGTCTTGACGGCCTTCTGAGTTGGACAGTCCCCGCCTCTGACCTGGAATGTTTTGTGCTTTCAGTGTGATCACTGACATGCCTGAAGTCTGTCATCTTGCTCTCTGTTTTAATTTGTCGTGTTGGCTCTTTCGCTCTTTCATGTGTTTGTCTTTCTCTGCCTTCTTTTGGGTTATTTTTTATATTCTATCTCCTTTCCTCAGTTGTCTTTTTTTTTTTTTAATGACACATTGTGTATGTGTGTGTATGTGTGTTTTGAGACTGCTTTAGGGAGTATAGCATGCATACTTAACGTACTATAAATTACCTTAGGTTAATAACATACCAATATTTACAATGAAAGAATCATAGGGGCCGGGGATTTAGCTCAGTGGTTCTGCCACCTGCCCTGCAAGCACAAGGACCTGAGTTCGATCCCTGGTAACAAAAAAAAAAAGAATTGTATAGCATCATAATTCTATTTGTCCTCTTTTGGTTTTGCTATTGTTTTTATATATTTTACTTTTTCATGTTACAGTTCCTTCAAGATATTGTTATTATATTTTATTTAAATTCTTGCTTCCCTTAGAAGAATTTGGAAAAATAGTCTCACATTTACCATTTCTACTGCCCTTTTTATTGCTGCTGCAGGTACACGTTTTGATCTGGTACTGTCTCCTTTCAGCCTGAAGACTTTCCTTTAGGACGCTTTTCAGTCTGCTTTTGTTTATCTAAAGTAATTTCATGTCATCTCATCTTCGCTTATATCCTTTTTTCTCCCAGCCCTCCAAGCTCCCCATTCCATGGTCTGTGGCCTTCATTGTTTCTGTGGTGACCTGGCTGTCACCCCTAAGCCTTTTTTCCCTTTATCTTTGATGTCCAGGAGTTTGAGTCTGATGTGCCTGTGCTTTATTTTATTTATCCTTTTCCACTTTTTACTTAGATTTCTGAGTCTCAGGGTACTATTCTCCAAATTTCAAACACAGCTGCACATATTTTTTGTCTTATTCTGACTTCTCTTTCCAAGACTGTAACTGAACGCGGGTTGGAGCGTTTGCTGTTGTCTTGTAGACGTACGAACCCCTTGTTACTACCATCTTGTGTCCCCCTGTGCTTCGGTTAGGGTCATTTCTATTCTCTCTTCATGTTTATGGATTCTTTCCTTTGTGGGCCCAATCTGCTGTTAAGACTACCACATGAATTTTTAAGAATTTTGGCAAGTATATTTTTCTGCTCTAGGGCTTTCATTTGATTCCTTCGTGATTAATATGATTACTCTTTGCAGTCCTCTGTCTCTCCACCCATTATATCTTGTCTTTTTCCGTCCTCTCCTTGCCAGGAAAGCAGCCAGGGGACAGCAAGGGGCCATGTGGGCTGGGGAAGGGCAGCTGGACTGGTGCCGTCACCTCTGCCTTGGTCCACTGTGTGACCTGGACTAAAATGACGGTGACCTCATGGCCACTAGGTGCTGCCTTGTGTCCACTTTACAGATAAGGCTGTGACGGGGGGAGGCTGAGCTCAGGCTGCTTGTGGTGGTCGGCAAGGCCTGGGGTTTTTACTCAGGCCCTCAGTCTCTGCACTCGCATTGGTAGCCATGCATGATGCTGCTCCCAAGCTGTCTGTCTGGGAGGACACAGCTGCCCGGCGTGGTCAAGGAGCCAAAGTCCTCGTGGGCAGCAGCACTGTGTCTGTGTTGTGTGAGGAGCAGGTGGCGGTCGCAGTGGGGAGGGCGCTGGTGTCTGAGTCGTGTTCTAAGCAGGGTGGGCTCTGCTTTGGACCCAGGGCGTGAAGAAGGCTCGGGGGGCTTCGTGGCAGTGCAGATGTGCTCAGCTCAGAGCCCTGCTCCAGAGGCCACAGCACTCCTTCCACAGGACAGTGACCTGCGCTTTCCAGGGGGAGGTGCTGAGGATTTGCCCCGGGCCTGGAGAGAAGGGAGTCCCCTTGGGGTCAGGCAGGGCTGGCCACTGCTGTCCCTGGAGCCACCCGCCATGCCCGTGCCATGGCTGCTCCTTCCCTGTATCTCGAATTAGCTGCTCACGGTGGCTCTTTCAAGACTGGTGAGCAGAGTTCATGCTGCGGCGCCCGAGGAAGCAGTCAGGCCCGGAGCTGTGTGGAGCTGGACATGGAGCATGCATCCCTGTGGGACCCAGCACCCCTCTGGCTTTCTGTTTTTCTCAGTGCACGGCGTGGTGACTTGGAGATGTGAGGTCTGGGCCTGCTGTGCCTGGCGCCTGATGAATGAAAGGGAGGGCACTAGGGGCAGAGGAGAGGGAATGGGGCGCCCTTTCCTGTGTCCCCACACCCTCCCGAAGTTGTCCCTGGCTGACCTGTTGCCTGTCCCTGGGCAGAGGGGACTAGTGAACCAAACAGCACAGGTACTTTGCCCGGAGGAGAGGAGCAACAGCCACTTGGGGACTGTGGTCCCACATCTCGGCACTGACCAGTGCCACCACCTCTGCTGTCTCGTCACCTGTCCCCTCCTCTGAGGTTAAGGCGTCATCTGTCTTCCAGGAGGGACCATGGAGCAGTAATGGCCCCCCACCAGGCCCTGCCCTGAAGACCTCTGTTCCTTCTGTCCTCCCAGGCCCTCCAGCGCCCCCACAAGATGTCACTCTCCAAGCTGGGGTCACAGCAGCCACTGTCCAGGTCTCCTGGAAGCCACCTGCACTGACCGCCACTGGGCTGTCCAATGGAGCGCATGTCACTGGCTACGGCGTGTACGCCAAGGGGCAGCGGGTGAGTGGCTTGGGGTGGGCCCCACGGGCAGAGACTGGCTCAGTGGGGTGCTAGGGGGGACCCATTCCCTGAATGGGAGAAGTCCAGATCTCAGCCGCCCCCTGCGCTGCACCGCTGGCCCCACCTGCTTGGGTCCTCTCCTTGGTCCAGCACCCCACTCCGTGGCCTGCTGTGCTCTGGGTTGAACCCCAGCATCAGTGCCCCTCCTTGGAGCCCTAGCAGGGGTGACTCACGGGCAGATGGCCAGACCCTGACTCTGGGAGGCAGGTGTCTGCCATCTCAGCCCGCCAGGCACAGGGAAGGCTGGAGGAGCATCTTCTGTCCACCTGCTGCTCCATCAGGAGCGATGGATCAGTTTGACAGGCCGTGGGTGGGCACTGAGCCACCTCCTGCTGGAAAGTGCCCAGCGATGCCCCTGCCCAGGGTCTCCAGCCTCCAGAGCAGCCCTGTGCATGCACCTGGCTTGGGGTTGCTCCCAAGGTGGAGGACAGGGATGCTGCCTCGTGGGCTTCTGGCTGGATGTGCCCTGGGCCTGTGCACTCATGGTCCTCTACGCTCTAGACTCCTGGGCTTCCGGCTGAGGGCCAACCTGCACTGGTTGGCCAGGCTTTGTCCCTCCTGAGGCGTGGGTCGAGGCTGTGGGTGCCAGGCAGCATCAGCTGTCCTTGTCTTTGTGCAGGTGGCCGAGGTCATCTTCCCCATGGCAGACAGCACCGCGGTGGAGCTTGGGCGGCTGCGAGGTCTGGAGGCGAGGGCTGTGACCGTGCGGACCCTCTCTGCCCAGGGCGAGTCTGCCGACTCAGCCCCCACCCCGATCCCCCCTGACCTCCTGGTGCCTCCAGCCCCCATGCCCAGGGCAGCGCCTCCACCGAAGCCATTAGCCAGCGTCCCTGATACCAAAGAGGAGCACCCGGGTGTCCATGCCAAGGTGGAGGCCTGGGAGCAGGGCCGGACACCGGGCTCTGCGCACGGGAACCTGCTGGAGCTGCCCGGCCTGCAGGGAGCTGGCCCCGGGCGGAGGTCACCCTCCCCGAGCCGCATCCTCCCGCAGCCGCAGGGCGCCCCCGTGTCCACCTCCGTCGCCAAGGCCATGGCCCGCGAGGCTGCACAGCGGGTGGCCGAGAGCAGCAGGGTAAGCTGGGGCTCCTTGGGGCCCTGTCTGTCCCTCTGCAGGGCTGCGGGGCACGTGCAGGTGGGCAGCGCTGTCCATGTGCCCCGGAGCTGGTGGCACAGGGCAGCTGGGAAGGGCACTGCACTCACCTGTGCTGTGCTGGTGGGTCTGTACCTGGGCCCAGCTGGACCGTGTGTGTTTCTGTTCTGTATATGAGTAGCCACATAGTTGAGGGGAGTGTGTGGTCCTGCTAAGGGGTGTGAGAGCCACGCACTGCACGGTGGCCTGGGATGGCCCTGGGTGGGCTGATGCTGCTCACTTAGGGTTCCAGCTGGAGCATGCGCGCATGCATGTGTGTGTGTGTGCATAGGCATGTGTGTGCATGTGTGCAGGAATGCAGGTAGAGCTGACACAGGTATGCGTATCTCCACATAGACACGTGTACCTTAGGTATGATCAAAACGTACCTTTTAAGTTAAAAATTGAAAAATGGGGCCAGGGATTTAGCTTAGTGTTTCCACCACCTGCCTTGCAAGCACAAGGACCTGAGTTCAATCCCCCGTATCAAAAAAAAAAAATTGAAAAATGTATTACAGTGAAAGACACATTGCCACGAACCCCTTCAAAATATTTACCCTTACTTCAGACATACTTATCCTATTGATTCAAAACATTTCCAACTATTTCTGTTGAATGAAAAACATGATGCTGGGTCCTCACCCACCTTATTCACTGGATCTGGCACCATGTGACTCCTGGCTCCTCCCCAAAGGCAAAATGACCCTGAGAGGGAGATGTTTTGGCAGCCAGGACAGCACAGTTGAAGACCTTGAGCAAAGGGGACTGCAGAGCTGCTGAAGAAAGTGGTAACGACAACAGGATGAGCATGTTCAGGGACAGTTATTTTGAGGCAGATCCATGGCAATGTGTCTTCTGCGATGATAAACCTTTTCATTTAAACCGACTCTGTTTTTATCACACATCCCATGTCTCTGCAAGTATAGCTGCACACAAGTGTGTGCACACACTCCCATTTGTACACCGCTGTGTGGCACTTTCACCTGTGGAACTTTCCACAGGAACTGTGGTGGGACCGCATTCCAGACTGGTGTGTGCAGTGAGCGGTCACAGGCCAGCTGTGCAGGGCTGGGCCCCTCCCTACTAGGTGCCCAGATGCTTGGGGTGAGCCTCAGTTTCCCCTTTGAGGCAGCAGCAGCTGCCCATGGACTTGTGTCCTTCAACTTCAGAGCTCCTGGCAGGAGGAGCCTGGGCAGGGCTCCAGCCTGCAGGAGAGGCCCCAACCCGGCTGGGCCCAGAACCTGCTCATTAGCCAGGTGTGGTGGTGCAGGCCTGTGATCCCAACACTCAGGGAGGCTGAGGCAGGATTGAGAGTTCAAGCCCAGCCTGGGCAGTTTAGGGACTTAGAGAGACCCTATCTCAAAATAAAAAGTTTTTTAAAAGAGGCTAGGGATATATCACAGTTGAAGGCCCTGGGGCCGATCCCTAGTATTGCAAAGCCACAAAAGGGACCAGTTAGTTGATGGGAATTAAGTGGGCAAGGGAGGCGAAGGAGGAGAGGAGAACCCCGTTAGAGTGGATCCTGGCACCGTGGGAGGGAAGGACTCAAGGAGATGCAGCCCGGGCCACTGGCCAGGCTTCCTGGTGCTCTCGCCTGAGGGGCCTGCGGGGCCTGGTGTGTGGGCCGCCTTGCCCTGCGTGGCACTGGGGCCCGAGTGCCCTGGGAGTGCTCCACCGTCCCCTGCGGCTGCCCTGCTCACCCTTGCCCCCTTCTCTTTCCAAGCTAGAGAAAAGGAGCCTCTTCCTGGAGAGGAACAGTGTGGGGCTGTATGCCAACTCGGATGAGGAGGATGGCTACGCCTCGCCTGAGCTCAAGCGGAGGGGCCCCTCGGTGGACGACTTCCTGAAGGGGTCCGAGCTGGGCAGGCAGGTGAGGCTCGCGGCCACAGTGGCCTGGCCCAGGACGCGGGGAAGAGAGGGCTGGCTGGCCGGGCCACAGCGGTCCTGCCGGCTCTGAAGGAGAGCCTGCGTCACCTTGTTCCGGGACAGTGTCAAAGTGTACATGTGAGGCTCCCCCAGGAGTGCCACATGCCGGAACCTGGTCTGCGCAGGTCTTTGAGTCAGGACAGGAGAGGGTCGGCTACAGGTACCCACCGGGTTCATTTGGGAGTTTGTGTCCACTGCTGGAACAGCATTTGCTGGACACTGGCTGTGTGCTGGCGTCTTCGTCACTTTCCCTGTGCCAGGACGCAATGCCCGACACCTGCAGTTTAAAGGAGAGCTGTATTTGGCTCATAGTTTCAGAGGTTACAGTCCATGGTCGGCTGCTCCAAGGCAGGAATATCAAGGTGGAGAGAGCGGAGAAGGAAAGTTGCTCCGTTCATGGAAGCAGAGTGGGGGACAGCGCCAGAGAGGAAGGGGCAGGGGCCAGATATAGTTGCCAGGATTAGGCCTCCACGACTCGGCAGATACCCAGGAGTGAGTGCCCCCCATCCTGGGTGGCTCCCAAGCCGACAGGCGACCCCATGCTGGGTGCCCCCACCTCTGTCCAGCGGGTCAGAGTGGAAGCCAGCACAGTACCCTGCTAGCCCCCGGGTCCCTGTCCCACCCACACCCAGGGCCTCCACACCGTTTGGGCTGGGAGACGGGCCTGCCTGGTCATTGGGGTGGGGTGAGTCCGACCCCACCGCCCTGTCCGCCCTCGGGGTCAGCATCCCTTTACTCGGCTCCTGTCCCTGCACAGCCCCACTGTTGCCATGGGGATGAGTACCACACAGAGAGCAGCCGGGGCTCGGACCTGTCCGACATCCTGGAGGAGGACGAGGAGGAGCTGTACTCGGAGATGCAGCTGGAGGACGGTGGCCGGCGGCGGCCCAGCAGCAGCTCCCACGGAGCCCTCAAGGTGAGCGGCTGGGCCAGGGAGTGCACCGGGGCCTCGCCAGGCCTTGGCCGGGCCGGGGGCTGCGGACTTGGGCTCGCTTCCTTCTCACTGCGGGAGTTGCTTCGGGAGCCCCTGGAGCTCCTGGCGAGTTGGGGCCCCGTGGTACCCCAGGGCACCAGGCTCTGTAGCAGGACTTGAACTGAGGAGACCAAGTCCAGCCCGAGGTGCTCGTCCACCTGAGGCCTGGGAGGGGCTGGGGCAGCTGCTGCACAGCCTGAGGGCTTGGTGAGCAGGGCTCCTGCTGTCCCCGTGGGGACCTCGCCCCTGTGCCACTGCTGGGCTGAGCACCTGTGAGATGAAGGTGGCAGGCACAGGGCCAGGCAGCTGGAGGGCCACGGCCGACTTGGGGACAGGGGCCTCAGAGGGCACTGGGCAGGACCACTCCGCGCCCAGCCTGGTGCAGAGCGCGCATGCGGAATGCTGGGAGCTCAGCCCTACCTGCCCGACTGACATGTTCTCGTGTGGTGGAACACGCCAGGTCCCCCTGCAGACTCCATGGCCTGAGCCCAAGCCTCCTCACCAGCTTGGGGGCAGGCTCAGTGGACACACTGGCTGTCCCAGTGTCCCTCATGCCTGGGCTGTGCCAGTGCCAGTGTGCAGGAGGCGATGGGCAGCATGTGTGGCCCCATTCCTGAGGCTGCTTCTCGGGGTGCAGGATGGGGCTGCTTTCACAGAGACCAGAAGCTGCCTTCTCCTCTGGGAGGCTCAGATGCAAAGCTCTGGGGTCACCACCTGGGCCCCAGCGGTGCTCAGAAAAGGGGTCACAGTGCGGGGCCTCCTGGGTGTGACAGGCAGGAGTTGTCCAGGGCGGTTTGGCTTCTGGGTCCCCTCTAAGAAGTCCCCTTCGTGGTCTGGAGATGTGGCTCAGGTTCCCCCTGGGCCTGGCGGGTCCCTTGTGATCAGACACTGGCCTCCTGACCACCTGGTCCACTCACCCCACTACCTGCTTGCTCTCCTAAGCACCCAGCTGCCCTGCCTGACCCTGGGGTGGCTTTTTGTCCTTGTGCTTTCTCACGTGATGAGAGCCATCCCTAGGAAGTCACCCCGACACACACACACACGGCAGACCCTGCCCACAACAGGGAGCCCCGGGCCCCAAGGAGACGGTGGGGAGCAGCAGACTCATCTGAGGAGACTGAGGCTGAGACCGTCAGGGCAAGGGGGTGAGCATGTGTGGACCACGCACGCAGGCGTTCATGAACCAGGCTGTGTGGGGCGGCCCAGGACACAGAGGCAGAGGGCCCCGTGCCCTGCAGACACTGGCGAGCTTGGGCCACAGACTCGGGCAGGAGCGGCCTGGACTCACACAGCTCAGTGCTGACAGCCGGCAGGAAGGGGCGCTGCCTCGAGCAGGATCAGAGGGTCTGGGTGACAGGCAGGGGCCGCACATCAGCGTCCCATGGGCCCTGGGCACGGCCACTGCACTGGCCCTGCAGCCCTGTCCCCGCATCTGAGCCGCCTCCTCGGGGCACCGCATGGCATGGCACCCACTCCCCTGCGCTGTCCTCGCCTGCGCCCGACTCCTCCCGGGGCCACCGGCTCCCAGCCCTGGAGCAGAAGCACGCGTCTGCCCGCCTTGCCACCTCCACTAATGTGTCTGTTTTCTTTCCTCCCTCTGCTCCCCTCCGCCCACGCGTGGCCGCCATTCTGTCACTCCCCTGTCCCAAGGAGTGCTATAAGGCTAGAAGCCTGGAAGGTGCGTCCCTGGAGCAGGCCCAGCCCGCCCCGCCGCCCCGCCGCAGTAAGAGGCTTTTCAGTATCCCCGAGGTAGCAGAGGAGGACGCAGACCCCTGCGAGCCGCTGCTGTGGCAGGGCCCGGGGGCATCCAGAGCCAGGGCCCTGCTGGCCGCACAGCGCGGACCTGTCCCGCCCTGCTGGGGTCCCTCTGTGCCGCCTGGCTCCTGGCCCCCCACCAAGCACAGGGTGCCCCCAGGGGCCACCCATGCGGACGACCTCCTCCCGGAAGACAGAAGCGGTGGGCTGGGGCGCTGGGTCGCACGGAGCCCGGACAGTGGCCTGGACTGCGGCAGCGAGGAGGAGGAGCTGCGGAGCGTCAGGAACACGGCGGCGGGGTGCAGCCCCAGCCCCGGCCCCTGTCCCTGCCGGAGCAGCCCTCGGCCCCTGCTGGCCCGGAGGCGGACCCTGACCCGGCAGAGCAGCATCGAGGAGGACTTTGGGGAGCAGGTGGACCCCGCCGACGTCCTCGGGAGTGGTGCCACGCAAGCCAGCCCAGAGAGGTCCCCGCCCAGGAAGCCAGGCTGGGACGCGGCCACCGAGCACGACGGTTTTCGGGGTGTCTGGTGGAAAGGCGCGGCCGGGCCGGACAGTAGGGCGGCCGCCCAGCACGGGCCACCTGCTTCCCAGGCTGTGCACAGCCCCTGGGTGTGTGCCGCCCCCTCCTGCCTGCCTGGGTCGCGCTCACCCTCCGCCCTCCGGGCTCGCGTGTCCCTCGTGGGCGTCACCCTGGGCCTCGGCCCGCTCGGTTCTCCTGCGCTTGTGGTCTGTTGCGTCCATCGCTTGGCCGGGCGGCGGCGTCTTTCCTTTGCTGTCGATGACATTTCCTCCACAGGACGGTAATGACCCTGGCTGCTTCGATTAAAGGACAACTGAGCCTAAGTTTTAATTACGGGTTAGCTGAACGGCAGTGGCCGCCTTGGCAACTTCCATTTTTCCAAAACCAGCCTTAGAGACCTAGGCAGGACTCCTAGCGTTCTTTTTGCCCTGTTGTGTGGGTTTTAATGTTGCTTCTAGGCCCTCATTGATCATTTTACCGCATGGAGAGTATTAGTGAAGAAAGTTGCTTTTGCACGCTGTTTCCAAGCCTTTTTATTTCTTCCTGTTCCCCCACGTCGCCAGTTTGCAAGCCTCCCTGAGCCCTGGGCCGGCCGTTCCCTCCACGCTGAGTCACCTGGGTGCCCAGGTGGGGCTGGCGGGGATCCCAGGCATGCACTTTGAGAACTGCCCACCTGAGGGCGCCACCCAGGCACCCCACTGAGGCGCAGGGCCCCTGGTTCCCGTTTCCTGGGCCAGGGCCTCCCTCGCCGTCCTAGGAGCAGGGGTGCTGCTGTGGTCTCCACGCCCAGTCAGGAGGTACTCAGGGTGGGGCTGAGACACGTGGGGTCCTGGAGGCTTCCCCCACACCCCACCCTGGCCCGCCCAGGTCTGGAACTGCTTGCTTTCCTGCTGTGTGGCAGCTGGCGTCAGGGCGAGGGTGCCAGGGGGCACTGACGTGGCCAAACCTGAGCAGGAGTCCTGAGCTGGTTGGAAGCATCTGCTCAGATTGAGTGTCTGGTCTCAGCAGTAGCAGCAGCAGCCTGCAGATGCCTCCTTCGGGCTCATTTTTGCCCCATCCCGCAGTGGTCAGAAAGTGCCTGGCTGGGGAGTGGGCATAGCTGACCATTCAGCTAACCTTTCAGTTAAAAGCTACGCCAAGTTGCCTTTACAGCTTTGCTCCCAATCCGAGTTGATTTCACTGACCTGCTCTTCCTCCTGGGCCCAGCGAGACTGTGACCCTGCTCCTGTCTTGTCCCAGATCCTAGGCAGCCCTGCATCGGCCGGACGGGCAGAGAGGGTGGAGCAGGGCGGCCGGAGGTTCCCCCTCGGAGGTGCCAGTCCCCAGAGGCCCCGGCTGGCCATTGGTGAGTTGCCTGCTGCTGCCTGTCTCTTTCTGTCCCAGATTGTTCTGTAACCCTTAGCGGTAGCAATTTAGCTCAGTGCAGGAAGGCAGGCAGGGCACACAGGAGATAGGAGCCCCACTGCCTGCCCAGGCACCCTGCTGCTCTTATAATTACGCTCATCTCCTGCCTGCCTGCCTGCCGGGTTTCTGTTTTGTTGTTTTGTTTCGTTGAGAGGTTTCCCAGCATAGCCTCGAAGGTGCCAATGCTCAGCTGAGGGCCAAAACCTGAGCCAGAGCTGAGCAGGGTGGTGGCTTACCCCAAATATCTGGCGAGTCCTGGGTTCAGAGAGCTCCTGTGGACACAGGGCACAGCAGAGAGCGGGTGCCACGCTCCCTGCCCCTGGATCCCCGGCCTTGCTTCACTTCTGCTCCACTCCACTCTATGCCTTGCTCTAAATTGCTTTCTGGAAGTCGGTCCCAGGAGGGGCGGCTGGAGGTCAGGCGGGGACGCCTCCCTTAGCAGCCTGCAGTCAGGGCGGCAGCAGCAGTGGTTCCAAGATCATCAAACACGAGATCTCGGAGCCCGGAATCACCGTTTGTGAACTTGTGTGCATGCACACGTGTGCATACACACAGGCACACACACGAGGCGGCAGGAAGAAGGGTTAGCGCAGCACACTGGGCTGCATTTCAGGGCTGGGGGGAAACGCCCAGAAGGGAGGAGGGGAAGAGAACCCACACCTGGAGCTCACGGAGCAGGCAGAGTCCGTTCCCACTTTTAACTTCTTGTTTTTGTCATAGAAATCCTTTAAATACAGTGTTTTCAGTTAATAGAGAACCAGTGTCTTCCTCGACTACTAAGAAAGTCCGAAGCGCTGTGAAGATGCTGGCCAAGCCAGTTGCTGAAAAGCTTGGTTCCCAGCAAAAGTCAAAGTGGTGCAGAAAACAGCAACAAAAGGAGACGCAGCCCCAAAGCGTGCCTTCCCAGTCCTCCCCGAGGGCCCGGCAGTCCGGCCGGGGTTTTGCTTTTAGACTGAATTCTGGGCTGGGAAGGAAGCCAGGTGGCTCGCTCCCCAGGGCCCATCCTTCACACACCTGTCCCGCCCGCTCAGTCCCATGTTGGGGGCCAGCGTCTGGCCGCTCCTCCGCCAGGCAGAGGTGGGCCCGCCTCCCGTCCCATCTTCAGGATTTCCCAAGCAACACACACAACGTTGACCCGGCCTGCAGCGTAGGGAGCGCTGAGCCACGGCGTAGATCTCGGTACCCAGTGTGCGTAGGTTCTGGGCAAACGCGCCGGGTTCTGTCGTGGGTCTGGCTCCTGCCGAGGTGCTGCCCAGGCCTGGGCTGGACTGGAGCGCCGAGTACCCGGTGGCCCCAGTGAGAGACGCCGCAGTGTTCCAGCCAGAGGTGGAGGGCAGAGAAGCCCCGCTCTGCTGCGATCTGGGGTCTCGGGGAGGAAGGCAGGGCTCAGCTCAATGTCCAGGCCTTGGTGACCCCATGGTCACTGCCCTCCTGCTGGCCGAAGTGCGGGTGTGGGGTGCTTGTCCGCCCGGCCCTGAGCCTGGGAGTGGGCGGCCCGAGGCACAGAGACGAAGCCATGCACGGTGTGTGCACTGCCCGCCCTGCCCGGCCCTGGCCCTGGGTCCGCCTCCGCGTCCAGCCAGGTTTGTCCTTGTTTTGAAGACCAGAGTTGAGGGCCCCCAGCCCCAAGCTCCCGAGGGGCACGGGGTCACCACCTCCCCTCGCCTGCTCGCACGCAGATGACTACGCGGGGCGCGACCGCCTCTCCCCGGACTTCTATGAGGAGTCGGAGACCGACCCGGGGCCCGACGAGCTGCCAGCCCGCATCTTCGTGGCTCTCTTCGACTATGACCCACTCACCATGTCCCCCAACCCCGACGCTGTGGAGGAGGAGCTGCCCTTCAAAGAAGGCCAGATCATCAAGGTGGGCGGAGGGGATGGGGAGGAGCCCGGGAGGGGAGGGGCTCGGGAGGGGAGGAGCCCGGGCGGGGGAGGAGCCCGGGAGGGGAGGGGCTCGGGAGGGGGAGGAGCCTGGGAAGCCCCCTGGAGCTTGCAGGAGAGAAGAGGCGGGGAAGGGCCGGCCCCAGCAGCCCTCAGTCTGTGGCCGGAGACAGGGGCCGCGGAGCCCACCCCAGGCCTCTGGGGAAGTCAGGTGACGGTGCGCGTCCCCCGCAGGTGTACGGAGACAAAGACCCCGACGGCTTCTACCGCGGGGAGACCTGCGCCCGGCTCGGCCTCATTCCCTGCAACATGGTCTCCGAGGTCCAGGCGGACGACGAGGAGGTGCGGGGCCAGCTGCTCCGCCAGGGCTTCCTGCCCCTCAGCACCCCGGTGGAGGAGATAGGTGCGGGCAGCGCGGGTTCTCGCTCGCTCGCTCGCTCACGCGTGTGCCCAGACCCGTGGCAGGTGCGGCCGAAGCTGCATCCCGTCAGAAAACAAACCAGCCACTCTTCCTGGCGGAGGCCGGAACATCAGCCTGGCTGTGGGACGTTTCCAAGGCCATGAGCGCCTGCTTGCTGGGAAGCTGGGCCTCGGGGGTTCTCTGTAGCCAGAGGCCACGTGAGCTCCTGTCCCGTTGCACAAGGTGTGCACTGCTCTACTCTGGGTGTCTTGAGCCAGTCGGCAAACAGCAGCGGGAAGATGGCCACACTGTCCCCAGGCAGCGTCACACCCACGGTCTGTGACCTTTCCCACCGGCAAGGAAGACAGACGCACTGAGAAGGCCTCTTCTTGCGCTTGTGGCTGGAGACACGTGGAGGCTGTGTCCTCCACGTTGGGGTCAACACGTCAGGGCCTTAGGGCAACTTCCACAGCAGAGTCAGAGTCCAGTGGGTCAAAGAACAGGTGCAATTCTAAGGGCGGGCACAAAGTTTCAGAAAACATTTTGAGCTTTTTTGGCCGAGTGAGCTAGCTCACTGTTTCCAGGTGAGGCTCCCATCTTGCACTGCACGCCCCCGCCCGGCCCCAGCGCCACTCCCCCCGGCTCTGAGGACCCGGGCTCGCCGGCCGGCCGGCCAGACACAGTAGCCGGACTTGCTTACATCCTATCTTGTGTGTATGGCTTTGGGGGGTTTTGGGGGGTGGTGCTGGGGATTGAACCCAAGGCCTTCACACCAACCAACATTCCTAGCCTTTTTCATTTTTATTTTGAGCCAGGGTCTTGCTAAGTGGCTAAATTGCCCAGGCTGGGCTCAAGCGTGGGATCCTCCTGCCTCAGCCTCCCAGAGTGCTCGGACTGTAGGCATGCACCGCCACGCCCAGCTCAAGGAGGAGGTTTTTTTTTGGTACCGGGGATCAAACTCAGGACCTTGCGCTTGCAAGGCAGGTGGCGGAGCCACTGAGCTAAATCCCCGGCCCTCGGCAGGAGGTTTTTGGCACTGAGCCACAGGTCTTCTGCAGAGCCACCGACCACCTCCTGCTTCCTGCAGAGCGCTGGCAGCCCCGTGCCACAGGGGAGGTCTGCGGACCCAGAGGAGGAGGGAAAGAGTCGCTGCCCACGCAGGGGCACGCACGCACGCGCACACACACGAGTCCAGGGTCCACGGCACAACACGAGCTGAAGCTGGAGGGTGGCGTGCCGGGTGTGGGCCCCGGGGACCCCTCGGTCAGGACTGGCCTCACGGTGGCCTTCCTTTCCCCGTCGAGTCACAGAGAGGAGCAGGAGGAGCGGCAGGCCGCGTTCGGTGTCCACGCGGAGAGTGGTGGCCCTGTATGACTATGACCCGCGGGAAAGCTCGCCCAACGTGGATGTGGAGGTACAGCGGGATCTTGGGGGTGGCCACGCCCCGCACCCATGCCCTCCCGCCCCTGCTGGGGGACCCCATAGGAAGCATGATGGTGAGGGGCGGGGATAAGAACTGGGGCCCCCTCCGGGCGTGGCCAGGCACCATGGCCCGGTGTCCACGGCCAGCTGCTGTCCAGACCGCTCAAGGGAAATTCCAGGGACGAGCAGCGTGTTCGCTGTAAACTGCCGCCTGCAGCAGCACGATGCATCTCACCTGCCCTGCTGTCCCCGCCCCTGGTCCAGACACCGCGCTGTCCCTGTCCCCCGGCCATGGCCACGGCCCTAACTAGTCCACTGCCCAGCGTAACTGTTCTGTGCAGCTCGGCCGAGTCACGTAGGTGTCCAGTGTGCAGGTCACACTCGATCGCAGGTCTGTGGCCAACGGAAACGGCGTCCTGGAGGGCTCCCCGCCGAGGCCGTGGAATGAGGGGTCACTGTCTGGAGGAATTGTCCCCGTGCCCAGATGCCCCTGAGCCACGACTGACAGGTGGCCTGTGACCCACAGCGACACCTTTGGAGGGAAATAGGAAAGGAAGCTCCCACGGCCAGCTGAGCTGCCTGTCCTGTGACAGAGCAAGCGCGGCCGGACGCGCTGTCCCCTGGGCGCTGCTGTGGCCCTGTGGCTGCGTATCCGGGCCCCCCGGGGCCCCTGTGCTGGACAAGCCACTGCTGGGGGTTCTGCTCTCTTGATCTCACGTCCGGAAATGTAAAAGCGCTTTGTGGTGGCCTGGAGTGTGTGGGGATGGTGGTTCCCTGAGGACGGTGTGCCCGGCACTGCCCGCCTGTCCCGAGGCTGGGCTGGGCGGCACAGGCAGGCCTTCGGGAGTGCCATTCGGTGGACAGGGCCGGGGCGTCTGTGTGCCGGCTTCGCGGCCGCGAATTTCCCAAGCGCTGTAGGTCCTTGTGGCTGGGTGGTGACTGGCATGGAGGTGTCCACGCCTGCAGAGCCGTGTGACCTCGCGCTTCGGCCAGGACTCGGCGCCACTGCAGTTGCTAGGCTGAGGCCGCCTCAGCGCCGCCCCCGACCTGGGAGGGGCAGGCAGACGCCAAGAGCTGACTTTTAGAAACAGCCCCTTTGTCTAGCAAACTGCCGTGGACTTTCTGTCCTGTCTTCACAGGCTGAGCTTACGTTTTGCACGGGAGACATTATTACTGTTTTCGGTGACATCGACGAAGATGGATTTTATTACGTAAGTTTTTGAAGCTTTAAGAAACACAGCTTCATTGGTTTTGTGGGGTTTTGTTTTGCTCCTCTGCTCTCAGAATCGCCTGTGCATGCTGAGCGCCCTGTGCTTCGCCGAGAGCTTTGCCAGTGGGTTCTGCCTCTTGCATGTGACATTCGGGAGCATCATGTGGCCTCCACTGCTGCTTCTTTACAGACAGCAGCATTTTCCATGTGTATAAACTAGGCAAAAAGCATTCACATTCTGACATTTACATTTACAAGCTGCCAGCATCTGAAATTGATACAGAAATTTAGTTTTCTAAATTTATTTTATGCTCAGGTAATAAAGGATGGGGGGTAGTGGGAACTAAACACAGGGTCTTCACCCTGAGGGCATCCCCAGCCTTTTTTAAATTTTTGAGATAGGGTCTCATTTAGTTGCTAAGTTGCCCAGGCTGGGTCAGAATTTATGATCTTCCTGCCTCAGCCTCCGAGTGCTGGGATTGCAGGGAGGGGCCACCACGCCCCCACGCCCAGCTCAGGAGTCCTCATGTAGGGACATGAAGAAACCCTCCCAGAGGCAGTCTGTCCATTCCCCACACGGCTTCCCCATGGGGAGTTTTCTGTGACCTCCCAGGAGAGGGACTGCCGGGAGGCGCCTGGTCATCCTGGGCATGGGGTGGCACGTGAGTCCTCCTGTCCCCACCCACCCTCCTTTGCGCATCAGAGGCTGGGAAAGGACGGGTCCTGGCCAGTGGCTGTGGCCTCTGAGTGACCGGAATCGGCAGGCGGCTGCTCGGTGGCTGTGTGACAGGACCTACCGGGGCACCCGTCTGCCATGCACGTCACCAGCACTTCCACCTGGAACCCTCTGCTCAACTGTCCATTTTGTGTGTGGCTTTGGCTCCTTCTGTTTCCTTTAGCAAAAATTTTAAGTTTGGATGGATCAAATTTTGCTGTCCTCTGGGGTGATGCCTCAAACATCCTCCGAGTGGTGAAAATAATCACCGTTTGGTTTCTTTGATCTTAGTGTTTTCACATGTAAACCTCAGGTGTGCCTTTAGAAAGCTATTATAAAGACCATTTATTGATTGAGAAGTCTGTCCTTCCTTACTTAAACCTGTCCTCTTCCCATGTGCTACCTTTCTTTTGTGCTTACCGTGTTTGTGGACTTCGGTCCCACTCCACTATTTCAATTTCTGTATTTTTATAGAGCATTTTGATGTTTGGGGAAATCCTGGTAGAGGGCTCCAGCCCTGCACATGCAGCAAATCCATGGTATTTTGTGTAGACATCTGCGTCGTTTTGAGACTGAACATAATGCCATCCAGGGCTGTCGCATGGACTGTTTTCTTCCCTCCAGCGTTTCCCCTTTGTCTATCAGAAAAGATAGCTGTGTTCTCACACATCCTTTGCACATCCTGAATTCATTTCTAGGAACTGTAAGATCTCACTGTCTTGGAAAGAGGTTTTTCCTGGAATGTGCTCTACTGGCTATTTAGAAAACATGCTGGAAATGTGTGCGCTCCCCACAAATCATTTTTCTTAATGCGTCTGTTGCTCAACTGATTCTCTTGGGCTCCTGAATTGTAATTATTTTCTGTCCTCATCAGCAGTATTTATACCTTCTCTCTTTTCACTGTCTCAAAGTGTCATTTAGAGCAACTCTGAGTACCGATTCTGGGCTGATCTGTGACTTACGTAATTTAGTAACAAGTAAACCCACGTTGATTCCCAATATATATTTCTTATTTATAGGTGAGATAATCAACAAAGACAGCCTGCAATCCCAACACGGGGATGCCGGGATAGGCAGAGTACAAGTTTGAATCCAGCCTGGGCAATTTAGTGAGATGTTGTTACAAAAAAGAAAGAAAAAGTGGGGTGTAGTTAAGTGTGAAGGCCCTGGGTTCAATCCTCGGTACTGGGGAAAAAGGAGAGTATCCTGATTTAGATCACTGAATTTATTTTTTATAAGTGAGTTAGTGATCATGGTCTATAATTATTTTTAAAGCACTGGATTTGATCTGTTAGCATTTTCATGAGAAGTTACTTTTATGTTCCCGAAATGGTTGTCTGTGCCCTTCGGGATGTGTGTGTTGTGGCTTTTGGTGTCAGGTTGTGTCGGAGTTGAAGCACTTCCTTTGTGGGGCTTGAACTGCATCCGAGGATGTGTCCAGGGCTGTTCCTGGAATGTTATTAGAATCAGCCTTAAAATCTTTCCACCTTAGAGAATACAGCTGTGCAAACCTTTTTATGTGGTTAAGTGGTTATCTTATTAGGTAGAGGATTAGAAAAGGCCTGCATACTGTGTTTATCAGTACATATTAGGGTATGAATGTGCAGCAGCACAGGATATGGAATGTCCTGGAATTTAAGGGCATTTCCTAATATCACCCACGGCGCCTCACTCCTAAGTTGCTGCAGTCCTGAAGCAGCCTCGCCTGGTGTTTTGCAGCACGTGGGACCCAGCTCTGTGCAGGCTGAGTGGTTTCCATGTTCATCTCTGCTCCCAAGAGCTTGCATTTGTCTTGCTGGCCAAGGTCACGGAGGGCACTGCCTGGCCAGGGGCCCCCTTACTCCAATTTGGTGAACAAGAAGGGCCATCTCGTCAGCTGCTGGGACTCGGGATTCCCAGCAGTCTTGCCCTCTGACGCGTACAAGCCTGTCAGCCGCCTTGCAAGTGTTTTACGGTCCTGAAGCCACAGTGTCCCCGTGCGGTCCCTGCATGTCCCATCCTGAGCGTGAGTCCAGGACCTGCTCCTGCCACTGTCTTTCCTCCCTGTGCCACCCACGGCCCACGTGCGCCGCAGTAGTAGTTTTCCCTCACGTGGTCCCTGCCCAGCCTAGCATCTCTTCATCCCGGTTTACTCGTTTACCTACTTTTTGGTGCTGGGAATGAGACCCTCGGGCTCGTGACGCTGGCCGAGCGCTCCCCAGGGAGCTGTGCCTGCAGCTGGGTATCCAGAATCATGGGTCACACGTGTGCACAGGGTGGCAGAGCGCACCGAGTTGTTGGGCGCAGAGAAGGGAAGGGCAGTCTTACCCGAGGGCCCCTCCAGGCAGTGGGTGTGTGACACAAGCATGGAACCTGGGGATGGGGGTGGCCCCGGGACCCTGGTGGGTAGTGGGAGGGGCAGGTGACGAGCTCTGGACAGACTTAGCTGCAAGACCAGGAAGGGGCAGGTGGCGCCTGAGGGCCGGGGTCCTGGGGAACAGGGACAGGACATGTCTGCAGGAACATTGTGGCTCTGGGGCACCCTGCCGTGGGTGAGTGGCTGCCATGGTCACTCATGCCACCCAGTGCCGTGGGCCTGCAGCACCCTGTGGGACGGTGTTGGTGGCAGGGCCTCTCGGGGGGCAGGATGCCCGGGCAGGATCTGGGTGTGGAGACGCATGCTCCCCTGCAACTCCACCCGCACAAGCAGGTGCCTCCCCGGGTGTCGCCCCGAGATGTCTCTGCTTGAGAGGTGGCGTGGCCTAGGTGGCCTGACAGGGCAATTTAGTGACTTCGTAGATAAATGTGACCGGAACCCCTGGTAAGGCCCGGCCGGGGTGTGGACCAGTGAACAGAGGAAACCAGGTCCTAATGGAGGCTGAGAGAGGGTGTGCAGGGTGGGGGCCCAGGTAACCTGGGCTGCAGTCTTCAAAGCAGGCGGGGTCAAGGGAGTGGCTGTCACCGGGCAGGTGGTGGGCAGGGCGAGGTGCGGGCCCCAGTGTCTGTCTTCCTGCGCCCGGTCCGTTTCCTTCGGCGGCGTCCTCACAAGTCGCCATGCTGTGCGGGGCTTGGCGTGGTCTTCTTCCCCTCTGGCTGGACAGTACGTCCGTACCACTTTGTGCTCACTCACCACTGACGGGCTCGTGGGCGGGACACGCACAGCTATCTCTTCAGATCCCGCCTTCAGTTCTTTGGGGGACCAGCCCAGGGCTGGAGCTGCGGGCTCACAGTCGGTCTAGTCTTAGTTTTCCGAGCACAGGCAAGTTTGCTGAGCAGCCGCCTCTCCTGCATTTCTGCCGGCAGAGCGGTTACTTCACACTTCATTTGTCATTGTTCCTGGGAGGTCTTCTCTGAGGCGACCTGGGCTCGGGGCGGCAGTGACCGTGTGTGAGGGTGCCGCTGCCTGCCGGGCGGCTACCCCTGGGCCCGAGGTCACCTCCCTAGTGACCAGTGCCTCCGCCCCACTGAATCCAGGTGGGGAGAAGTGTCTGACCTTTGGTCTTTTGGTTGCTCGGTGCTAGGAGCCCTTGTCTCTCCTGGCCATTCCCTCTTAGCAGACCCACGGTGTCTACGCACCGGGTCCCCTTCCCTGACACCTGGGCCTCCGTGTCGTCCTGAACTGCGATGGAGCAGGCTGACCACGTCCTGTCGGGGCCTGCCCAGCCTGTTTCTGAGCTGCAGTCTCACTGTGCCGTCTGGGTGGCCTGGGATCCGGGGCCATGGGACCTTCCCTCCCCATCCACCCAGGTCCCTGAGACGCAGGCTTGGCCTCGCCCAGGGAGGGGCCCGTCTGGGCATGGCCTGGGCACTTGGGGGTGGGTCCTGTAAGCCAGCCCTGCAGGCACGGTATGGGGAGGAACAGGATGGCCGGAGGGAGGCAAGCCAGGCTACAGGCTGCAGCTCCTGCCTCCTGCCCAGCAGGGCACCTGCTGGCCCTGCCCCAAGCATCTGTCCTCACCAGATCACTGAAAAGACCTTGGGGATTCTGGGTTCAGGGGCTCAAGCCACAGGGAAGGAGCCATACCTGGAGTGGTTCCCGGCACGCGCACCCAGGGCCACCGCGGCCAAGAGAACACGGCCCCGCTCCTCCTGGCTGGGTCCTGGACTTCGAGCTCATGGCTCGGGTTGTCTTTGTCCTGCGCGGGCACTGGGGACTGACCCCAGGGCCTTCACGCCAAGCTTCATCCCCAGCCCGTTTTATTATCTTGAGACAGGGTCCCTTGTCTCTCAGTTGCCCAGGCTGTGCTCAAATGCAGGCCGTTCCGGCCTCAGCCTCCCAGGGTGCGGGGTGGACAGGCTGGCTTCACGTATAAGGCCACCCTCATGATTGGGCTTGGCCCCATGACGGGCCTTGCGCCCTGCGAGTCCCCCAGCACCTCCCCTCTCGGCTGCTGTGCTTCCAGGGGGAGCTGAATGGCCAGCGAGGCCTGGTGCCTTCCAACTTCCTGGAGGAAGTGCCTGACGACGTGGAGGTCCACCTCTCCGAGGCCCCGCCCCTCTGCTCTCGAGACACAGCCCTGCGTGCCAAGGCCAAAAGGGTAAGCAGCCCCCCCAGCCCAGCCTCGTGTCTGCTCAGGGTCTCCGCGGTGGCACGGGCACACCGGGGCCACAAGCACAGCCCCACGCGCTTTGTCCTCCTGGCTCACGCCCTCAGAGCCTGTCCTAGATCTTTAGTCCCGGCACACACAGGGACTGCCCGACCCAGGCCCCCACACACACGACAGACGCACGCACACCTCAGGTGACGGAGAGAGCACCGGGCACGGCCCGCCCTCCGCAGGAGCCCAGGGCTCACACAGGTGCAGGGCCTCGCTCGCATCTGCCTGTGACACGCACCCGTGTTGTCTCCTTGCTTCGCGCCATCACTGCGGCCCGGCCTGTCATGTTTTACGTATGTGTTTTATCTCCCCGTCACCTGCTTGGACTCAGAAGAAGAGCGTTCATTTCACACCCTAAGCAGGCATGTAGCCTTCACGTAAGTGAGCAGCGGAGACACCTAGAGAGATACCGGCTTAAGCTACCTACACGGACCAGTGCGGTAGCCCTAGGGCTTCACTGTGGGCTTACAGAGAGCAAAGAAATATGTCTCAAAGCCTTGGATCCAAAGTGCTAGGCTATCACTTGGTCTCAGTTGTAAAGCAACTGAGTGTGGAGTGAAATATGCTCTTTACCAATCCTCTCCTACGATTGCCATTCAGTATTGGGAACATATTTCTTACCCAGCGAGCTGTCTGTTCACAGAGAGTGCTCCACTGTCTACTCTGAGTTAGAGCTGCATATTGCATTGCTAGCCACTCCTGAGCAAAGCACAAGCTAACCAATATGTTTACTAGAGGAAGTTTTACCTTGAAACCAAACAGCCACCCTGTAAGACGAAGCCGATGAGGGGTGCACAGTGGTGATCTGGGTGGCCCGGATGCCCAGTAACCATACCTCTACCTTGGGAGAGAGCCTAGCTCCTCCGCCAAGCACAAGCGTGTGCACACGCAGACACGGCCGTGCGTGGGGTACCAATGCAATACTACGTCTCTGACACGTGCAGCTCCCGTGATTGCACTAGGGAACCAATGGTATCTTCAGGTGTGCTTTGGGATGCACTACTAGGTGTTTTCCATTAGAACTAGACCTTGATTCCAAGTCCAAGCAAGCTTAAGGCCCCATGGCTCCTGTCTGGCTGCCGCATAATGAACACCCAGTCCCCAGGGGCTCTGCCGGGGAGGGACAGTGAGAGCCCAGGGAGTGGCGGCAATGACCTTGGCACACACCCAGGGGGGCATGTGCCCAGGATCAGGGGACTCTGCCCCCGTAGTGCAGGGGGGCGGGGGTTAAACGCCTCAAGCACGGGGTATGGAAATGCACCCAGAGCTCTATAAGGGACAAAGTCCTGCTCAATTATTTGCAAACAGCAAAAATGTACAATAAGGGCCTTTAAGCTTTCTTTGATTGTAATTAAGGTTCACTTTAGTTTTTTTTTTCTTTCAACCGGTGTGCCATCGCCAATGTTTCCATAGTTTCTAACTAACCCCAGAGTGCACTCAACAGTATCAGGATTTTATATAACCAAAGTAGCTTTCAAACGCATCCAAATTCCCTTAAGATGACTGATGGGTCCGTGGCCAACCTGACTCTCAATCTGATTCCAACACCTGCCCGCTTCTAGTCCGAATTTGCAGAGTAAATTATGACCTAGCTTTGTTTGCCAAAGCAAAGGCCACCCCTCTCCCAAGCCCCGGCCGCGGAGAGGCCGCTCTGGGAGAGGGGCGGCTGCCCGGGGGCACTCTGACACTTGAAAGAAGAAACGAACCACCCTTCCCTTCATGTGGCGGGAGACGGGTGGTGTGGTGTGCCGAGCGGATCGGTGTCGGCGCGCACGCACTCAATAAACTGTCACAATGTACCTACTAGGTTCCTCCTGAGGGTTCAGGGCCAGCAAGGAGAGCTCCATCCCCCACAGTCCACCTCCATTCGGGGTCACCTACGTCATCCATGGGTTCTGGTAGTCCTGGGAGAGGCAGGGAAATGTCCTCGAAAAAGAAAAAGGGGCTGCTTTCCAAAGGCAAGAAGCTGCTGAAAAGGCTGGGTGCGGTGAAATGACCGTGTGCTTCCGGACAGCTTCCAAACCTATGTGATTTTCTTTAATTCCAAACTAGGGCTTTCATGACTCAAGCACTTCCTAAAACCCACCTCCTCCCCTGACACCAGTAGAGACACGCACTTTTCCACTACCATCCACTCTAAGCCAGCGCCAGAGCGGAGAGCCGCTGGTGCCCTGCCCCCGCCCCAGGTCTGGCCAGGAGGCGGAGGACCAGGCCAGGCCAGGGTCTGGGCCGCGCCCTCCCCACTGGCCCCGGCTCCTTGTCCTCCATCCATCCACCCCAAGGACTGACTTCCCTCCGTCCAGTCAGAACGCTCGCCTCCTAGCCCAGAGCTTTCACCTCGACTCTGGTCTTGAGATTCCTAGTTCAGTCCGCCTCGATGTTCTGCCTTATACGTGCGCTTGAGCTGTACTGTCTAATAAAAACGCAGTGTGTACTCCGGATGTGTCGTGCATTCCTGGTCTCCCTCCCCCCACACACAGTGACCCAGGTGTTCAGGCTGTGCCGTCTGCGGCCCTGGCCCGGTCTCCCACAGCCAGCCAGGCCCCACAGCCAGTGTTTACGCAGCCACTCAGAAAAGAGCCAAGGGGGCAGAGGGCCGCGCTGCAGCCCAGCCCGAGCCTCAGCCCCAGCCCCAGCCCCAGCCCCAGCCCAGCCCCAGCGCTGCCACCTCTGTCCCTGTGTCAGAAGGCCACACCCACACTCCGCAGCAGCACAGCACGCACAGCCGCAGCCAGACGTCCCCCAGGGCCCCAGACCTGCCCTCTCACTGGCATCCCCCCAACAAGACGCACAAGGTTGCTGACAGATGATTTGTAATTCTTGCCCACTTGTAAATTGCTTTTACTCTTTTTACACTCTTTTCAGACTGCCTTTCTTTTGTAATTTCTGGAAGGTTTCTAAGTGAGTGACAAAGCTTTCCCCGCTGTGTCTTCAAAACTATTGCAAACCGTAACATAATACAGTATGTGGTAGATTTATTAAAAGGAAAATCCATCTGTGGTTTGGTACTGTGTATGTGCATGTGTACAGTTAGTGTAAACTATTTTCTAGAAATAAAATTTGTTATTTTATACAATGTCATTTGTTGTGTGTTGTGTGTCCTGGCAGGCTAACTGAACGCCTTTCTCCTACCTGTTCATAAAAAAACTGGGAAGTGTCTTTCCTGAGGTTTTCTCTAAGATCAGCATAGGGCAGTGACTCCGGCGGAGGGCAGGTGACCCTGGTCATGGTGTACAGGACACGGCCACTGTAACAGGCAGCACAGCAGGCTGACCGCAAACCTGTTACCCGAGCCACATGGACCTCATACAACGGCTGCCACTTCCCAAGTATGCAGTTTCCCTAAGGGCCCTAATGATTTTTAAATTCTCCCAACGATAGGAGTTGCTCAAATTGAGAGAAAACCAACATTGTTTAAAGCAAGAAGAAACCAGTACAGTCGAATACATTACCTCATGGGCCTAGAATCAGAATTACTACCATGCCACCATTCACGTTGTAGTACGTTTTCCCCTAACGCATTCACAGAAAAAGCTGTCTGAAGAACTGATACCGAGTTCTTTAAAGGAAAAACAGTCTAAGTAGCCAGGACTAGTGTTCCTCTAAAATATGAAAAAGGCAAGCCCAAAGTAACTGAGCTGGAGTTAACCTTTTTCTTCCTGTTTGCAAAGGAGCCCAAGTCTGCCGTCTCCCTCCCAGCCCCAGCCCACAGCTCGGGGGGCCCATGTCACAGCAGCGGCTTCCTTTCCGGGGTGAGAGGCGCCAGTCTGGGGCTGCTTGTTCTGTGACCTGCACTTGACGAGTCAGCACTCCCGCCCAAGAGTGCACAGTTCCTTCCCATGCTCGGGACAGTGTCCAGTGGACGCCCAGCAGTGGCACTGAGTCCTCAGTTACCCTCCTCTATTATGCCGCCACCTGGCATTTTCCCTTGAGCTCAGTTCCCAGTTACTTCTCAGTCACTAAACCTTTTCTATTGCTTTCAAATGGCGCATGCACTCAACTAGTGACTTCAGCTAGAAATCCAAACTCGCCCCAGGGAAGCTGGCGGTGATGGAGGCTCTCGGGTGAGCGTCCTGGTCACCAGCAGGTCACCAATGGTGTGAGCTCACTGCCCAGGGCCAGGGTGCACCTGGAAGTCTCCAGCAGAAAAAGGGAAAAACCACCCGTCAGCTGCCTCTAGAGCCTTAGCAGAAGAGAGGCAACGCACTGCCAGGGGTGGGGGTGCAGGCCACGTAGGCGGCACACTGACCCTGCTGCTCAGCTTTGACAGCACACGCACGCACGCAGGGCATGCCAGGTCACTCTGCCCTACACAGGCCTGGCTGCCAGAACAAGGACATGAAGCTCATCTTACCACAGAGACCGTAACAGTACCCAGAGAAGACATAACAGTACCCAGAGAAGACAAGCCCAGTGCCAGTGAACTTAATGTAGGAACGCAAAGTAAGTGCAGCTCCATGAGCAAACCTTCCCCAGAGGGCTGAGCTGTAGCCGCCCATTCTGAGAAATCAAGGCAAGAGCTTTTCCACCCATGCACACGGGACCCCATCCAAAGACATCTATCACGAGTGTGCAAAAGACGCACATCCCTCAGCCTCATCTGCTGAAGGAGCTCGAGCCATTGTGCCCGGGTGTGCGGCTCTCAGTGGCCAGCATGGAGATGTAAAACGCTGTACGACACACGGCCCATCACCGCTGCATGTGACAGCTCGCACACAAGGTCATAGCACTTCTGGAGCCTCACTAGTGTTTATGGCCTTTAACTGAATCTCCTTGCTAGGAACCCAATAAGAGAGATGTAGGCAAACGCTTAACAACTCAGCAATTCATCACAACATCCGTCACGGGTGTGAGAACTGAAGTGATGCGCACACAGACGAGAGGGACGCTCGGGCGTGGATGATGGCCCAGGACCCTGAATAGCCCCGGTCCTGGGCACAGGAGTGGGGCATGCAGGATGCTGCTTGCTGCTGGGCCTCAGGGGTTACCTCCTCCCTCTGGCCCCTCACCAGCCCGAGTTGGGCCCCGTTGCCTCCTGAGCCTCTCAGGAGGACAGCTGGGGTCTGGGCCCAGTCCAGCCCCATGGCAGCACCTCACGACCCCCTTTCCTGCTGGGGTAGGGCTGGCTAGAAAAGCACACATGTGTAAATGAAAAACACGAAGCCTGTTCTCTGGCATGGCAGGCCTCCTGGCTTCACCTGGGCCTGGAGCGGCCCGAGGTGTGGAGGGCGGGCAGAGGGCCCAGCCTGGCTTTCCAGGGAGGCCCGGGAAGGAGCCCCAGCCACCACGGGCACCCCACAACACTGCCACAACTTCCTGCATGAGGCCCAGCCTCGGGGAGTGACACTGGGGTGCCCTCCACCCATCACACACAGCCTGTCCCGTCCCGTTCAGGCCCGAAGGGGACACACAGGGTTGGAGTAGCAGCCACTGGGGACGGTAGCCCCAAAACCACAAAGCACCCAGTCTCCTCAATGCTTCTATAAATTCAAAGGGAGTCAATAAAATCTTAAAATTTTCACAAAGGTCACAAATAGATTCTAAAATTCAGACAAAATCGTCAAGGAGAGAATCCTATCCCACCAGGCCTCAGGAGGTTAGCACAGTGGGAAAGGCAAGGGGGTGCGTGTGGGGGCCGATGACCTAGGAGCCAGGGGCCAGCAGCTGGTGTGACGCGGCAGAGCCCGGGCGGAGCGATGGTGCCCTGGGAGGAGGAATCTGGGCTCCCAGCTCCAAAGTCAGGTTTGACTTTTAGTAGGAAACATGAGTGAACATCTTAGGGTAAGGCAACACTTCTTAAATACACCTGTGCACACACACACAAACACTGACCACAAAATTTAAAAAGGCAAATTCAGACATTTGAAAACAGAGGACTTCAGTTCATCAAATGACCCCTTAAAAAACCCAGCAAGTCCCAAACCGGAAGGAGGTGTCTGTTACACACAGCTGGCCAGAGATTAGTTTCAGGAACGCATAAGCCTCCTAAGTACAAACCACCCCAACCCAAGACTGAGAAGAACTGGCCCAAGAGGGAAGCCCCTGGGCAAGAGCGCGGAGGGGACCCCACTTCAGCAGCAGGCAGCCAGCCATGTGCTCAGCCTCCTGTGTGTCAGAAGGCACGGCACAGGCCCTGCTCGCTGTCCAGGTGGTGTCAGGGCCTCGCACGGCTCTCGAGGCTGCTCTCTGGCTGCCCTGGCCTGGCCGCTGGTCCTGGACCTGAGTCTGCAGGTGGCAGCAGGAACCGGCGGCCGGGTGGGAGCTCAGGACCTCCTGCCTGGGGCCAGGTGTTCTCCCGGGGTGGGGCTGAGACGCACACCCTGCCCACTCTGGCCGTGGTGACCATCGCATCACCCCCAGGACCTTTCAGTCAGGAGTCTGCCCACCTTGTACGCAGAAGCGGAGCCCAGGCCACCTGCACCAGTGCCCGCCCCGTGCCCCGCAGCCACCACAGTCCTGCTTCCTGGTCCGGCGCTGCAGTCTTTCCTGATGGGCGCTCTGGGCCCCGCAGCCGCTGTAGGAACCGTGCAGCTCACGGCCTCTCAGGTTCTGAGACACAGGAGCCCCAGCTTGTGGGAGGAGCCTTAGACGCCTGGACCTTCTAAGGACAAGACGTTAATGGCCCACTTACCTACCAGCCAAGACATCCACGTATCAAAACCACGGCCCAAATGAAGGCCTCACACGAGCGGCCCTCCTTCCTTTCCCGTGCTGCGACAGCCTCGGGGCCGTGGTCCGGTGCCTGCTGCTGAGACGTGAAGCTCCCTGTCTCGCTCCCAGGGCCTGGAGACCCGAACCCCAGGCGAAGGAGACAGGCCGGGGCAGCTGAGGTTCAGGAACCAAAGCGAAAGCTTCTCTCGTCCGATCCGCCAGTAAGGTGCACTGCGGGAAGTACAGTCCGGGCTGGGCCGAGGTGTGACTGCTCCCACGCACCTCACCTGGAAGCCTGCGACCTCACGCCCTGTCCGCGGAGGCTGCTGAGGCATCAGGGATGCGGGAGGCGGACGATCGCAGTCCCGGCCTTGCTGCAGCACGTGTGCGCCCAACAGGCCTGCACCCGTGCGGAGCCCGCAGAGAACACGCCCCGCCTGCACACACACGTTTGCCTCGCTCCAGCAGTTCAGAGAAACACAAAGTGCACTTTCAAAAAACAACAGTGTTATTCTAATTAGGTGACAACCACTTTTATTTTATAAAAAAGAGAATGATGTCCTACTTGTAACATTAAATACTAATGTTAATATAGAACTTCATCACTGGCCTTTTTCATTAAAGTTTTAAAATATTTCTTTGGACAAAAAGTTAAACTTTTCAACTATCCTCCTTTCTTTCTCCCCTGCTACCTAACCCAGAACAAGAAGGAAGGGCAGGCGCCGGGCCCCTTGCGTGCAGTGCAGTGTTCTGGCAGATGCCCACACAGCGCCTCCCTCTGGTGCAGTGGGCGGCCTGCCCTACGCCTTTTCTCCTCTGAACTCCAGGGTCTTTCTTTGGGTGGTACTGGGGATGGAATGCAGGGCCCTCGAGTGCTAGGCAGGGGCTCTGCACTGAGCTACATCCCCAGCTCCTCCTCTAAATTCGAAATAAACACTTCCAGAGTAAAGTTAACACAGGGTTACAAGTGGGACCTGCTTACTCCTCACAGTATTTTCAAGTAAACCCACAAACGCTTTTCAACTTTTCTTTTTCAGTACTGAAGATAAAACCCCGGGGTGCTCTACCACTGAGCTACATCTGTAGCCCTTTTCACATTTTTTTATTTTGAGACAGGGTCTCGCTAGGTTGCCTAGGCAGGACTTGAACTTGCGATCCTCCTGCTTCAGCCTCCCTCAGTGCTGGGATTACAAGCATGTGCCACTGCACCCAGCTATTTTTCAGCTTTAAGAAAGTCTGCTTATCATACAAAGTGCCTTATCTGCATTTTTCAAACCAAAGACATCATCACAACATACTTACGAAAAACTAGCAAGGTACAATTTGTAAAGTCTTAACTTTTACCTATAAAACAAGGAAGCCAAATTAAATAGCAACAAGGAAATAAAGTCTCGCTCAGCCATGTTCTTCCCAAGTCTCACCCAGAAAGGTAACAGTGAAAGCCTGACAGCCTGGCAGGCTGGGAGGAAAGCGGGCAGCAGCAGGCGAGGTCAGAGGTAGTAGAGGCGGTTGGACAGGGACAGGTTTGGCTCTCTGTGGATGCTCTGGCCCACCAGGAAGGCCAGCTTGTGCGCATACTGGCACGGCGCAGGGACGCGGATGATGCCCTGCATGGGGAGAGGGTGGCCCGTCACTCCGCCCCTTGGGTACTGGGGCCGAGCCAAGCCCGTGGCCCAGGACACTCACCGGCCAGTTGTAGTAGATGTGGCAGAGCTTGTACGTCAGCCGCTGGATGTGGTCCGGCTTCAGGCCGCTGCTGTCGTAGATGACATTGTAGTGTGTGGGGGACACACTGCCGCTCCGCACGGCCTGGCTCACGATGAAGAAGTCGTACCTGCCGCGACATGAGGTGGCTCTCCCGTGCCCTCCCCACCAGGCCCAGGGGCAGGGAGAGGCTGCTCGGAGCCACCTGGGCCAGGAGGGCCTGTTCCCAAGGCCAACACAGCGACTCCCTCCCGGCTGCTCAGAGCCAGTGGGCGGAGGCTCCCCGCTGCTGCTCCAGGGAGTGCGCTGCTAACCTCTCCCCCTTGGCGCTCCTTTTCCTCGTTTAACAAAGCAACCTACTCTTTTAACAAAGCAACCTAATTTTCAGCACTAAGGATTTAGAGGAAGCTGAGAGAGAAGAGGGCATGGCCGAGGACTGTGACGAGAACCAGGACGGCCCTGGGGAGGCCGGCCATGTGGCACATGCGGGGAAGAGCCTAACGTCCGCTCATCATCCCTGTACCACTTTCACCGCAGATACTGCGACGTGACCCACAGACAGGACATGGCCCGGGCAGCTCCTCACCCCTTCCAGACCAGAGTCAGAAACCCTGAATCTGGCCGTACAGGACTCTGCTGGGGGACAAGGGGTCCAAAATGAAAACCTGCCGAGGGCACCAGAGAAAGCTCGGCAGGGCAGTCCCGAGCCTCAGCTCCCAGCTCCTACTGTGGTGTGCGTGCGTGCGCGCGCGCTAGCTGGGGTGCCCGCCTGGGGAGGGGCCATGCCTGCCCACCCATGGCAGTTCCAGGGCACCAGTTCAGGGGCACCTGGTGGTCAGAGCAGAGTGCAGCTGGACAGCAGCAGGCCCGCCTCGGGGCCCTGGCAGGGGCTCCCTCCTGACTAGCACACAGAGCCCTGGAAGGACGACTCCCCAGTGCCACATCACAGAGCTGATGAAGGGAGCAATGGTCTTTATTGTGTGTCCGTGCGAGTTACAAACATCGAATGTCCCTCATTTCAAATGCCTGGGACTGGAAATGCTTCCAGCTCCACAGTCTCTGCATGGACTCTGTAGCTGGCATCAGGACTGTGCCCCAAGCACGCTTGCCCCATTGGTGAGGGTGCTTGGTCCTCACAGGAGTGTCCTTCCTGAGCTCCCAGAGGTGCTCAGCCCCCTGCCTGCAGCCAGGCAGGGCTCCTCAGACCTCACTGAGTGTGGGGCACCTCTGGGTCCCTGGGCTCTCAGCAGAAGGCTGCAGGCCTACCCTCACGGCCACTGTCCCGGGGACTCCCTGAGCTCTGGAGAGCCACATGCACGACACGTAGAGACTGCACCGGAGAAGCATCTGCGGGTGAGCAAGGCCATGGGCCAAAGCACAGCCGCCACCCAGGAGCAGAGCCTGCCTTCCATGTGCACCCCGGTCCTCCGGGGAGCCCTAGTCTGCAGGTCCGGACACAGACGCCGTGGGCTTGCAGGAGAGGATGAGGCCTAGGTGACTGTGACCGAGCCATGCATGGGACGTTCACATGGATGCCACTGGAGGGCCAGGCACTGAGGAGGCCACCCCACGCCCCAGACTCACCACTCGGGCCTGGTGACCTCCACGTCGATGACAGTCCCGGGCAGGGGGTTCTGAAGTTTTCCTCCAGAGTGGGCAAAAAATCTGGCGTTCACGCGTTTCTTCACCACAATCACTGTCAGTCTTGGGCTGGGGGACGAAGAGCAGGAGCTCTTGGCCCTGGCCTGGCCTCCCCTGGGGACCCCTCATGCAGGTTGCCTGTTAAGGGCTGGACTCCCCCTGTGCCCTGGCATGAGGCAGGAAGGTGTCGCACGCACAGACCAAACTTCTCCCTCACCCGCCACTCTGAAAGGTCCCGGCTGCAGGCCTCACGGTGGGGAGAGACCTCTGGGGGGCAGGCGGGCCGCTGGCCTCGAGAGCGGCTTCTCAAAAAACCCCTATGCCCAGCAGCCTGGCAGGCATCGACAGTAACGCTGCAGGAGGGCTGGATGGCCTGGCCTGAGGCCTCTGTCGCTGGGCCTGCCCCACAGTGCAGTGACCTGGGCCCTGCTGTGTCCCTCGGGCCAGCTCTCTCCCCAGCCTGCATCATGTCCACCCAGCTGGGAAGGCTCCTCTCAGGCCTGGGCAGCACGCCTGTGTTCGAAACGGTCAGGGTAGAACTGCGGTGTACAGCCCTTGGCTCGAGGCCACCCGGCCTGATGGGGACCAGGAGCCCGCAGGACGGACGGGCTGCACTCCTCAGAGGACACGGGCTCCCGCGGGCCCACACGGCTGCACAGAAACATTCCCAGGGACAGGTGGCCAGAACCTGCCCACCGCTCCGGTGCAGGTGAGCAGGGCGACAGCTCGGGACTCCTCAGGGCCAGGCCCACGCGAACCCTCATAGCAGCAGGGTGGATGGAGGACAGGGTCTCCGCTGAGATGGGCACACCTGGCCCTCAAAGCTGGGCCACAGTGGAGAAGGCACAGGGCTTCCCGTCTCCAGGGCCTCTGCCACCCCGGGTCTGGGCTCAGAGCAGGCGCTGCAGTTGTGATGCCACAGCCCCAAGGACGGCAGCGAATCCTAAATAAGCTCCAGCCTCAGGAGCAAACCCGGAAGGCGAGTGTGTTACTGCCGTGAAATTGTGGGAAATGACTCTGCACGTGTGGCAGGGAGGACATGTCACAGAGAGGCCTGAGCGACCTCGTCACCTGTCCTAGATCACAAAGTCCAAGTCAGCTAACTACAGCGCATCCCTACAAGTCAGAGGCAGCGCTCCAATTAGACAGACCGTAATCTTCCTTCTAAGGGCGGGTGCACACGTTTCACCGAGGGGTCTCGTTCCTCAGACACCCCTCACTTTACACCACCGTGTAGCTGTGCTCTGCCATGCAGTGGAGCCAGTGGGCTGTGTGGGGGCCAAGCTGGCTCACACCTGCCTCCATGAGGCCCACGCGGCAGGCTTGTGACAGAGGCTCCAAGGCAGGTGCTCTGAGGACAAGCGTGGCTGCCCTGTGCACTCACCTGTAGCCTCTCCCGAGGGACTTCAGGCAATCCAAGAACTGCGGAACCTCGTAGTTCACCAGTGTCTTCAGCTGGCCGTCGCCCACGCCGTCCCGGTACACAATGATCCGGCTCGGCATGTACTCGTTGCAGCTGTTCCACGCCCGCAGAGCCGCTGGAAGCAAGCAACAGGTTTTAAAGAGGTAACACTATGGCAGAAGGGAGCTGCGCATGCACCTGCCTGGGCGCCCCGCTGCGGACCCACCTTGCAGGCACACCTTGAGTCCGTCCACCAGCTCCTGGCCTCGGTCTTGAAAGACGCAGCGAGAGAACCAGCTGTGGCAGGGTAGCACGCGGGTGAGGGCCGAGCCCCATGCCCGCCCAGTGCACGGCCGGCCTCCCCAGGGCCTGCGCCCACCCCGTGCGACCTGGAGCCCGGCAGCCAGGGACCGGGAGCTCTCAGGCCATAGACCGAGCTCTCCCCAACTCCGAGTCAACAGCGGATCCCGCCTGCAGGGAGAAGGTACTCCGAGGCACCACTGGGGGCAGCTCGCACACCCCAACCCAACTGCGCCTGCTGCCTGTGCTGCAGATGCACTCCGCTTCACTTCAGAGGCTGGGGACCCCAGGAACATGGGCAACTAAGACGCCCGCCACGTGTGCCCTCTGCTCTCCCCCACCGTTGCTTTGCCCAGGAAAAGCACCGAGAGGTCCCTTTACCAGGGGAAGCCAAGTGTCTGGGGAAGCGAGCTCGTCTCCATGGGGTGTAAACCCGGCCCTTGGGGCCATAGACAAGGGTCACAGAAGGCTGCAGCGAGTCCACAGGCCTCACCGAGGCTCGGCTCCCAGCCCGCCTACCCTGCGTGCTCCTCGCTCACCGGGTCATCCCCTCATTGATGCTGGCCACGAACCCCGCAATGGACCGCCGCCCTGCGGTGGTGTCGTGGTAGCAGTCGATGCCGACGATCATGGCCAGCTTCAGCTTCAGTGAGAACAGCACCGTGTCAGCGACAGCGATCTCCTCCCTCAGGTGCCCACCCTGCCTGTGTCACCCACGGCACCGCACTCACGGGCATGTCAACTCTCCAGAGCTCGCCGCCCATCTTGCAGCTCATCTGCAAGGCGATCTTGGTGGCGATGGCCATGGCGGTCTGCTGCTTGCCCAGGGTGCGCGCCACCACGCATTGGCTCGGCGTGGGGCAGTCCGTGCACAGGTACTTCTTGATGGCATCGTATTTGTCCTTCCGATTACTCGACAACAGGCAGACAACCTGGGAGACAAAATGCCTCCTTCCAAAGAGCTCAGGAGCTGCACGCCCCATGGCAGGGAGGACAGAGACCAATCCCCCTGCTGCTGTCAGCCAGCACCACACTTGCACTCTGGTCCCCTCTCAGGGCGGCACGGACAACACTGAGACACCCCAATTAGATCTGCCTAAGTGACCACTGCTTGCAAAGCAGGAGTGCAAAGCCAACAAGGCTCCGAGGCTCAACTGTGTTTGAGCAGGGGACCTTAGCTAAGCGTGGGCGGTGGGTGGCTTGGAGTGACTCAGACAGGACAGGAAACGTGAGTGGCGACACACAGTTTCTGAATGTCCCCAGTGTAACGGAGTGCCCCTAGGAGCATGGCTTTTAAACTCAAACCTCTGGCTTGGGAACTGGATGGAAGCACACACTATCCTAGCAAGTTGGTGGGCATTCTGAGGTCAGAGTGGAGTCCCTGATCTGCACGTCCCCTGCCCCAATTCCAGGGCTGCATCCAGCTCTTCAGCTCCAATTCCCGGCTCTGACCTTTTTCCTGTGCCCCCCACCCCACCCCGCCGTGCCTCTGCCTGTGGCCTCTAAAGACACAAAGAAGCTAACCGAGGACAGTTAGGGCCGCAGGCTGGGGGAGGGGGGCTTCACTGCCTGTCTCTGCTCCTGGTGACCAAGAAGCCCCAGGTGTGGGGATCCCTCCTACACTTGCTTCCTTCAGCCCAGCGCCTGCCTGCAATGTCTCCGTACAGGCCACGAACAGGTGTCCGCCAGTTTTGAAAAGCAGCCAGAGATACAAACCAGTAACAATCACTGAAGGAATATCTTGGCTCGACTACTCCTCCCGGGGCAGGCCAGGGGAGCCGGTGCCCACACCTGGCGTCTCTGAGTGACCTCAGCTCCGCCTTTCCTGCCTGCCCACCCAGGAGTTGCACACGGACTCACGAGCACAGGGCCTTGCACTCGACTCTTCACAGACCTGAGACAACTCAGGTCCACAGAGCACAGGAATGTCCTCACCACCATGTGTCGCACACAGCTTCAGTTTCCCCCAGCCACGACACCTGTGCCGGAGGTGGCCTGCAGCAAGCGTCGGGGACCCAGCAGGAGAACCCCATTCCGCCAGGCACCTCGAGGAGATGCTGCATGGCTACTCTCAGTGCTTGCTCAGTGCAGGAGCCCCACATGCAGAGGCTGGTAACAGCAGGGACAGCACTGAGGTCACTGCCCACCTCACCCAGCTGCCGGCCCCCCAAGGGACGGGGTCCGGGACTCCGGGCGGATGCGGCTGCAGAGCCTGGGGAGCTGCACGGCTCTGCACCGGGTGGCACTGTCCCTCATGTGTACGAAGGCTGCACTCTAGGTGCAAATCAAATGGGAAAAACGGCACAGCAATCTCCATAAAGCTTTGGGGGTAGAAGGGGTTGGAGGAGAGAGAGAATGATTGGAAATCTCTGAAGCCAAAACCACGGCCTTGGCACACACACCTGAGACCTGGAAGCGGCTGGGGTGAGCGCTAGCGTGTGGCAGGTGGCCCGGGCGCTCAGCCCTGGGGGCCTGGGTCAGGGCACAGCAGGGTGATGGCCAGCACAGGGTGCTCTGTGCAGTGTGAAGACACCACCCCAGCCAAGCCCGGCACGAACCCCCTCCTAAGGCCAAGGTGGGAGCAGAGGCAACCTCGGGCCGACCGCACTGAAGAGCTGTGAGGGACGCTGGGCTCCGCAGCTCCACTCAGCCCTCAGAAGAGCCCACAGCAGTTGAGCCTTGCCGTGCCGGCCGCCTCTAGCTTTGCACCTGGAGGACAGCTCGGGCACCTGCCGGGGTCCTGCTAGTGCCTAGGCAGGGCTGTGTGGCCAGCCATCCGGCTCCAGAGTCCACATCTCTACTGACCACGCCACTTAGGCCACAAAATCCAACCAGAAAGCCAAAACTGCTCCTTAAGGGCCCAGCTCCAGCTCCAGCTCCAGCCCCAGGTCAAAGCCATGCACCACATGTGCCACTGTGTGTGGCCCCCAGCAAGGAGACGCCACACCCGGGCAGCGCCTGCTGCTGGCCCCCTTGCACCCCAGGCGCTGGGCCGTGCACTCAATGCTCACGCCCAGATCCAGGCCACCCCACGGCCCAGGGGCCCCCGCTCGCCTCGCCCCACACCCCGGGCCCAGTGCGCTCACCTCCACAGGCTCTGCTCGCTGAGCCCCGCCCACCCCATCTGCACCTCATTCTGCTGTGCGTGTGCTGACCTTTACTCTTGGGCCTATCTGCTCTTTCCAAGCTTCCTAGAACAGCTAAAGCTTGCGATCAGAGCACATGTGATGGCTCCGTTTCCTTGCCCTTCCTGGCTTGTGGCAGCGCACATGTGCGCTGTGTCCACCACATGCAACTGCCACATGGAACGGGTCGCGGACTCTGGCCACCTGGGGACCTCGCCATGCTTAACAAGCTCGGGGACTCGCAAGTGCCCCAGGCCACACTCACTATCTGTGTGTCTGAGGTGACCTTCTGCCGCAGGACTCGGAGGTAGGCTTCTGTCCTGTCGTCCACCTCGATCCTGGGGGCAAGGACACAAGACAGCACTCAGGGAGGACACAGCTGTGCCAGAGGTAAATGCTCCCTGCACACGGGAACCCAGGCGGCATTTCCTCGTAAACACACCAAATGCCTATGCTCTGCCCTCCAGGCAGCGCTAATGTGCATGTGTGAACAGCTGCCCCCCATGGTGATCAACCCCACGCATGCACGCGTGTCTGTCCGTGTTAGGAGACACCAGGACACACGCTCAGCTGACAGGGTCCAGTCCCCAGCCCCCAGGGACCACTTGCTCTCCTCTCCTCTCCTCTCTGGAGCCAAAGTAGCAGGGCAGTGCACTCACATTATCGCTTTCTTCATCTGTATGCCCATGGCTGGCGTAACCTTGAACAGGTTCTGAATCAATGAGTTGGCTGCTTCATAATTTTTCCGGGTATAGATCATCAGCCAGTTATCCAGCGGCCTCGCGCTGATCAGTGGGGCCCCTCGGGTCTCCTTTGACCAGTCTGCAAACTGTGGGCTGTAGTCGAACTGGAAGAGAGTTCACAGGTGCCGGGAGGCCCGCCTCAGCCTGCTCTGTGCTCAAGTCACACTCAGAGTGACAGATCAAATGCCAAACATGCACCCAGAGCTGGGTGTGGGGCTGCACACCTGTGATCTCAGCACTCGGGAGGCTGAGGTAGGAAGACTACAGCCCAGACTACACAGCAAGACCCGGCTCAAAGGGCCCTCCCAAAAAAAGAGCACAGCGCACAGTGGACGACAGCACTTCTATTCCAAACACACCCACACCAGCTGGCTTGTCCCGGTACCCTTCTCACCACAGAGACGTGAAACTCAGCAGCCTGAGTGTCTGACGCTGAAGCCAGCTCCGCTTGCCAGGCGAGGAGGCCCCTGTGCCTCCTGCTACCCACCCTCCCACCGCCCACAGGGGACACGGAAACGACTGCAGGTCCACGGCTCCTTCCCCGTTGGGTCAACATTCACAGTGCCATATGGAGGTAGGAAAGTCAGTTTGCTATAAAAAGGTTTGGATTTTTTCATACTTGTACAGCTTTAATTACATAAAAGTACTTTTAGAATATTTTCCCTTCCTTTTACAAAGATCAAGTATAAAAGGCACTGCAATATATAGTACGGATCCCTACAAACACACGGCTCAGGCAAGTGAGGCCCGTGAGATGGGGAGTTTTTCACGGGAAAGGTCACCTTGGCGTGGAAGCAGTGTGGACACTACCGGAGTTATTCGACCCCTCAGGTGGCTTAAAAAAGGAAGCCCCCCCCTCAGTGTCCTGGCTCCTTTCGAGAGCCAGGCTGCAGGCTGCAGGATGGATGTGGTGGAGTGGGGTGGGGTGGGGTGGGGGGTAGTCTGGCCTGGACCAGCACTGGCTGTCCGAGCCCCGTGATCTGCCCAAATCCTCTCTGCTCCCAGATGCGTCTGAAGGCGGCCTTACTGTTTTTCCACCTTGGTGAATCTTTTCTGTTTGCAGAATCCTGCCTGAGAAGGACAGCAAGTTGGAGTCGAAGCTCAAGCCCCAGTCTCGCAGCTCTCTCTGCACGTTGTCGTCTCTGCAGAGGGGACACAGCACTGCGCTGAGCTTGGGCTGGCAGTGGCGAGGCCGAGTGCACTCTGTCCTGCAGCCATTTCCCACCACACAGGTCAGGGGTGAGGTCTTGCCTTTCCCAGACCCACGCTCCTCACAGCACCCCTCACTGTACTGAGAGCCCGATGCCCAGCTGTCAGCTGCACAGTGACCGGCTCAGGGGCAGGTCTCCGGGAAGCATGTGGCTCCAGGCAGAGGCACGGGAAGGGCAGGGCTGAGACGGCGGGGAGAGCCCCAGCCTACTTGTGGATGTAGTCGATGAGGCGGCCCACTTCCCGCTGCCGCTGCTCGGGCGTGAGCCGCGTGTGCGCCGCCAGCTCCTTCATCACGGTGAAGTCGTTCCGCATCTTGTCGGTCAGGCCTGCGGACACAGCGCTCACTCACAGGTGGGCAGGCAAGAGGCAGGGAGCAGGCGGAGGTGCCGGAGAGCAGAGCTGCGCACCTGTGAGGTAGCAGAGCTCCGGGATGAGCATCGCAGGCCCCGGCATGGTGCCTCCTGGGCCCCGCCTCCTCTTGGGCTGGCTCACCAGGACTGGCTGCTTCAGGTCCGTGATCTCCTGGTTATACTGCTACTCGGAGAGGAAGGGTTGGGGGCGATGCTCACGCAAAGTCAGGAGCGTGTCACAAAGTGTGACAAAGGGCCCCCCGTGTAACCGAGTCAAAGCCAACAGCAAGGCTGGGTTGCTTCCGCTGGCGTGCAAAGTGCCAGCTGGCAGCCTTGGCCTGCCCACCACGCCAGGTCGGTCTCTCCCACCTGTGCCATGTCCCAGCCTGTGCATGAAGACTGTCCTTCCCACCACCTCTTGGGGCCCCGTGACCTCTCTAGCATCCTGAAAAACTGGGTTGAGCATCACCTGCTGGGTCCCGACTCCTTGGCGATGAGGCCCCGCCCACCATAGCAATGCATAGGAGGGTCCCGCCCACCAAGACGCGGGGCGGGTGTTCTCACCTCAGACAAGGGCATCTGGGAAGGGCACAGGGTGGTGCGCAGCTGGCACAGACATGCCCTCGCCACTTCCTGACAGGCCTTGCCAGGGTCCCGTCTGTGGAGCCTCAGAGAGCGCCCCTCTCCTCATTCAGGCCCTACGCAGAACGCCTGCCAACGCTCCTGCTTTTCCCCACTTCCGCTTCACGCTCCTGAGCGGGACCCTCTCCTGTGCTCCAGGGCTCCCCCAGGCCTCATCTCTATCCCCAGGCACCGCTGCCCCGAAGCTGCTCGTCACGGCCCGCCTGCCCCCCGTGGGAACGGTGTCACTGCAGACAGGTCCCACACGGCAAGGGAGACAGGACAAGGGAGCCGAGCCAGGGCAGCGTGCACAGTGCGCACCAGCCCCTCCAGGCAGGAGCCCAGACACAGGCACACAGGCACCTGTGCACACCGGGGAGGCCAGAGCTGGGCCTGCCCGCCCACTGCCTGCAGGGCGGCCCCTGGGTGAAGGGTGAAGCTGGTCAGAGGGAGGGAGCGGCCGGGCAGGCCGTCAGTGTGAGCTGCTCCTGGCCCGGCCTTCTCCTCTGCAATTCACACAAGTCACAGGCGGCCTCTCACAGAGGCGGCTTTTCTGCAGTGCTGGTGAGGATGCAGCCCCAGGGCGCCTACCTGCTGGTAGTACTCCAGGAAGCTGACTTCCGAGCCGTCCGCCTTCTTAAAGGTGCTCTTGGGATTCTGGTCCCAGTCGATATCATCTACCCGGTAGGTCTTGTTATTGTACCTGTGGGACCAGTGTGGTCAGGTGGCCTTCGGCAGACTGCGGGGAAGGGTAATGCAGCAGGGCAGGGAGCACAGTGCCCGACACCCCGTCTCCTAGCATGCGGGGTGCCCCCGGGAGAGGCCCACCCTGAGACCCAGGTCTGCGACCAACTGCTGGGAATGGAAGGACGAGAGCTCCAGCCGTCTGCCCCTCCAGACAAGTTATGTCCCCCAGAAACAGCATGGCCGCAGCGGTAAACCTGCCTCCCTTTCTGCAGCCACACCCCTAGCATCAACCATTTCTAACATCACAGCACGACTGAGCACAGCCGGCTGCCCTGCACCCTGAGCTGCAGCCTTACTTGGTGAGAACAATTAAACCTATCAACTCTTTGGCCACTTGTTCTTGGAACTTGTGCCCCTCGGTCTGGTGGTACAAGTTCAACATGAAGTCCAAGACGGTCTCACTGCGTAGCACTTTGTGGCTGACGTCCGTGCACAGCATGATGTTGTTCTCGTACTGCAGGATGGAGGTGGTGAAGCCAGGCCAGATCACCAACCTGCAGGGAAGGGCAGCTCACGCAGTGCTCTGCACACTCACTGTGCCACCCGTGCCCAGGGCTGGACTCAGGTGTCGAGTCCCTGTCCTTATTCCAGGTCCCAGCTGGGGACCTGGCTTTCCACAGTTAGGGTGGCAATAACTGTCTGCAGCGCATACAAGTCGTCAGCAACCTGAGCCACACCGCTGCTGCTCACCGCACCTCCACTCGCTGCCAGCCCCCTTTTTGGGGCTCATACCGCTTGACTGCCCCAACCTCTGCGGGGCCCCCCTAGCTGCAGGCGCCCACACCCTCGGGGCTGCTCGGGAGCCCGGGTGCATCACCAGCTCGCGGTCATGACCCAAGAGTGAGGTACAGACCCAGTGCTGGGCAGGGACTGTGCTGTGCCAGCCACGGCTCAGTGTCCCCGCGGACAGGCGACACGAGCACACCACCCTCACCCCGCGCTGTGCCCAGGCCTGTGGGCTGCGCGGCACACAAACCTGTGATTTGGAATGTCAATGGGGTCATGCGGGTTGTAATAATTCCGTCCGATCTGTTGCAAGTTCATGATTTTTAGGAGCCTGGAAATTGAAAGTCAGACAGTCAGAGGAGTGAGTGCCGACCACCTCTCACATGACCCACAGCAGGGCACGAGGCTTACAGCAGGGCTCCCAAGCGGTCCCTGCAGCCAGGCCAAGGGTGGGTGTTTTCACATGGCCTGTGAGTTCATAAAGGTTTTCAAAATTCTTAAAGCATCTAAGGTTATTTCAAGACACATGGAGCGTATGGAATCGGAATCTCCGTGTCTGTCAGTGCAGTTTTACTGGAGCACAGCCCGGCAACAAGTGGAGCAGCTTCGTGGGACTGTGGGGCTGTGCGGAAGTCAGCCACCCCTTCCTTTAGGGAACGGGGCTCCATCAATGACAGTCACTCAGCAAGGATCTGCCAAAGGGACAGCGATGCGAGAGTGACTCAAGGTGAGTTACACACGCAGGTGTCCCGCCCCATGACAGCTGGCAGGGACTGCATTCTGCAAGCAGCTACTCAGCAAAGCATCTTCCTGGGATGGGGGGTGGGGTTTGGCACCAGAGGGGGAGGGGCAGAGCACAAGCTCAAACAACACGGCAACACACAGGGGGGCAGGCAGGGCAGTGAGACCAAGTGAGTGAGCTTGCACCAGTACAGCACTTAAACAGTGGCAGTTCAGGGATCACAGCAACCCCAAGCTAGGAGACAGGCACACAGGTAGTAGTTATTTAGGTCTTCTGTGTGTTTTAGGTTTTCTTTTTCCCATGGGTGCTGGTGGGCAGGTCCAAGGCCTCCTGCAGGCCAGGCAAGCCCTCCAGTGCCGAGCTGCACCCCAGCCCTGAACGCTCCTGAGCGGCACGGAGGACTCGCGCACCTCCTGAAGATGATGTTGTAGAACTGCAGGCAGGTGGGCGACGTGGGCGGGAGCTCGTTGGTCAGCGCGATCGTTATCCGCACGCGCTCCCCGTTCCGGGTCAGACTGGACAATTCGGTGACCTGAAGCCAGAGAGGCGGAAACCAGCTTAGCCGGGGGCAGCACCCTGTGCCACCCACCACACGGTGCCTGCTTCTGGCTTCGGCGGAATCTTAGGTCCTCTCCTCGGCAAGCACAGCTGTGGGCCTTCAGTGTCTCTGGGACGCAAGGAGGACACAGTGATGCCGCAGTGACCTCCCGCCGGTTACCAGTCCCCTAGAACCCGGCCTCCCCAAAAGCCGCCGGAGCGCTGGTCTGAGCCAGAAACCCCCATCTCCCTCTCCCATGCAGACGTGTGGAATAACCTTGTGCTGTAGTCTTATGGGTAGAAACAGTATTGTTCCATCAAAAGCGTGACTCCTTCCAATGAGGTCTTCGTGCTGGAAGAGGAGTGCGGAACGGAGGCGGCGGGCTTCCATCAGCGGGCTGTAGTCCACGTGGTACTGGTATAGAGCCCACTGTGGGCGCGACGTCAGCCGGAAGTGGTTGGTGCTCAGCCTCACCTTGATGCCGGACGAGCCTGTGGGGCAGTCGCATGCAGTCCCCTCCTGGGCCAGGCCGGCAGAGCTGGGGACAGCACTCTGCATCCCAGCCCTCAGACACCTATCTCCAAGGAAGCTGCAGGGTCGGGCGGTCTAAACTCCTCCCTGAACCGGGCAACGTGTACCCCCTAGCCCAGGCTCTCTGTACAAGGGCCCTGCATCGCGTCTACTCAAGTAACTTCCAGAACGTGCAAAGACATCTATCAGCCACCTCACCGGAGCCGTGGGGAGAGAACACAGGAAGCCCAGCTGCCTCCCCACCGCGCGTAACGCAATCTCTGAACAAGTGAGAAAGAGGAGGTGCCTTCGTCCCTTACCCTGGGCACCGGCAAAGCGATCCCTGAAGGGCAATTTCTAGCTAACCCACCTGTTTTGGACTCTTTGACATGGTCTAGGCTCTGTCTTGTGTTCACACCAAGATCATGGAAGTCCCTACGGCGGCGTCCTCCTCTCTCTGCCAGTGACAGCTCCTGAAACCCAGCAGATATCTGGAGTTCTTAAACACAAAGAGAAAAGCAGCTCATATGCCTGGCAGCACCAAACATCAAACAAGGAGCAAAAGCAGTTCCCACAGGGCCATGAGACAGCCAAGAGAATCCCCCCACTCCCTGCATCTGCCGGCAGCCAGGGAGCAGGGTCTGAAGCACTGTGTCCCCGTGGAGCCCTCGGCAGACTGGGGGGCGGCCCTTGCAAGGCACCTGCACCTCTGCAGCACCCAGGCACAGGGCTCTGGTGCCAGGAATGGGGCACATCCACAGACTGGGAAGGGGACCTTTCGGCATTCTAATCCCTGAGGACTGAACACTCACTTTTCACAACGTGGCATGTTGCAAATATGGCTGCAAGCAACGGTAGTTTAGAGGGTTTAAATCTATAACCTTGTTTAAAAAACTTAAATCTCACACAACTTTCTACTTGAGCCCCTCAAAAATCAGCAGTGTGGAGACAGGCACCTGCGTGAACCCCGTGGCCATGATACACCTGTCACCTGGCGCCAAGTGACAGGTATGTATAGATCAGCTCCTGCTTAGTTCCAACAGCTGTGGCAGTAAGATCCTGAACGACAAGGTCACTCAGAGTACAGCAAGCATACAATCACAGGTCTGGGATCAATGGCACCAAGTGGGCTGGTGTGAACACAGGTCCAGGGTGCAGTGCTGATGCTCTTGCTGTCAGGTACCACGCAAGCAGACTGTGCAGAAGAGAGCAGGCGGCACTCCCCGACACCCACTGTGTCACTTATCTTCAGAAAGAGCAATCTTCCTAACTGACCACTGTCTCCGCCCTCCCCGCAGCGAGGGTGGGCAGCTGCCTTGGGCCTTTCAGATGGCCTCACCCTACACAGGTGGAGCAGGCTTGCCATCAGTGCTGTCCAAGTCAGGCCCGCTTGGGATGCGCTCCCCCAAGATGCCCAAGCCTCTGCGCCTCTGCAGCGTCCAGGCACAGTCTGGGCTGGCACATGGTTCTACACTTGATCTTAGCCAAAAGGCCAAGAAGCGAATGGCACACGGTTCTGAAAGTGGCTTATTAATGCTTGAAGGTAAGCCGATAACACTTGGCATGGCTCCTACGGCCCCTGGCACGTCTGTTCTCAGGGAGGAAGGGATCCCACGGCCACATGACCATGCACAGCATCCGCGTGGCACGCAGGCCTCCCATGCCCTTCACCTTGTGACTTGGCTGTGGCCCCAGCTGCTCCTCTCTGCCGTCCTCGGCCGACCAGGTCCCCCTCTGCCAGGGGATGTGGTAGTCTCGGCTGGGGGTACCCGGGCTGCTGACTCTATGGTCACAAAGACAGAAGGCCGTTCTTTCTCGCCCAGAGTCCAGGAACCAAAGAAAGTATCTTAAACGAGTCCCCCACCACCTCTCTACCGGTAGTCAAGTGCTTCATTCTTGGATCTCTGTGCCAAGAGCCACCAGACAGTGCCCGCCCAACCTCTCAACCCGGCCCTGGCCATCTACTTCCCCCGGCACACTGGGAGCCCAGGACCTCACACCCCTGGGCAAGCGCTGCACCCCGAGCTCCTAACTTCTCAGCCCGCGGCTCCGAGGCAGGCCCCACGCTGGCGACGTGCTCACCAGGGCCGCCCCCATGTGCTGCGCTTCGTCCTGGCCGCGCGCCCGTCCCCGGGCTCTGGCTCGGGCTCGCCCCGTCATCGTCCCTCTCGGAGCAGGCAACTGCGAAGGCAGCGCTCAATGTGCGGGGCACAGCGGACCGCCGCTTTCGCTTCGGCGTCGCCCTCAGGGCCCACCAGGGTCCGAGCCGGCCGGAGCCCCCTTCCGGTGGCGGCCGCCGAAGGATTCACCGTCCAGGTCCGCAGAGGGGACCCGCACACGCGTGGGTCGCCGCTTGCCGCCCCCGAGGCGCTGCTCCGAGCGGGCCGCCCAACCCGGTCCTAGCCTGGCGGCTTCTGAGGAGCCCCGAGCCCTGGCCCTGACGCCCGCCGTGCAGCCCGCGCCGCCGACGGCGGACGCAGCGCGGGCGCGAGTCTCCCTCCCGGCCCCGGGTCCCCTCCCGGGCGCAGGCGGCACGCACAGGCCACGGCGGGGATGGGGCAGGCGGGTCCCTCGCGTCCTCGTCCCCCGCGTCGCCCCGGGCGGCCTCTTCTCCGCGCGCAGGGCCGCCAACCGCCGCAACGGCGCCCCTTGGGCTGAGTCCTCCCCCTCCGTGCGGCCCCGCGGGCGTTCGGAGGCGCGGCCCGCACGTGACCCGCCCTGATTGGCGGCTGCGCAGAGGCGGGTTTCTGTGGGGCGGGGTGCGAGAGCCCGCCCCGCCCTCCACCGACCTCCACCTTGGGAAGCTGCGCTTGCTGTCCTAGGCCCTGGGCTCCCGCCTGCGCGGGCTCTTAAAGCCACGAGCCGCCCCACCCACCAGAAACGAGAGATTTGAACCCCCCCCCGGAAAATAGAATAGGAAGAAAAGGTCCAAAAGGGTAGGGGAAGTGGGAGGGGAAGGGGAAAGGGTACAAGGGAAAGGACAAATTATGAGAAAAGGAAAAGACTGGAAACAAAGTCTGTGTAAATAGGGAAGGGTGGAGGGGTGAAGGGCGCACAGGTATTGGGGAAAAAATAACCAAGATGCATCATGTACGGGTACAAGCACCCTGTGATAAATGTAAAGGTATTGTATCCCTAAAATGCACCAATGAAAGAATTTAAGCAAAAACCAAAAAACAGAAACCTTCACTGAAGGCTAGGGCACGAGGCAGCTGCAGACCTGCAATCGTGGCTGTCAATCCACGCGTGTTCAGGAGTGCAAGTGCCCGCGTGCAGGGCAAGGGCGCTCCCTTGACCTCGGCTGCACCTGGAGGCTGCGCTGAGCCAGCCTCCAGGTGCAGCCCCAGGTGGGTCCCGCCAAGAGCTGCTCCCTCCCGGGGGCAACTCTGTCGAAAATAGGTGAACTGGAACGGGCTAATTCGCCACACCGGAAACTGGGGCCGAGGCTAATACCCGACTCGGCACTTTGCTCGACTGTAAGGAGACTTCGTGCTTACCAGGGCTTCTTCAAAATGCCTGGAACCACAAGCGTTTCGGATTTCAGATTTTTAAAAATTGTGCAGTATTTGCATGTAGTCATGAGATACGCTGGGCACGGCACTCAAATCTAAACACGAAATTCGTGTATGTTGCACAGGTAGACTTTTACCCGTAACCCGGAGGTGGTGTAAACAATGTTTTCAATGCAGGTGCTGTTTGGCTGGGCTCCAGGGTTTGAGATCAGGTGTGGAGTCTTCACTCTCGCAGAAGGTTCCTCCAGCCCTGCAGCTTCTTCGTACAGATTTAAGTGTCCCCAAACGAGCCCGAGTTTAAAAAGCTGCTGGAGGAGCTTCTGAAAGACACACAGCCCCAGAGAATCCCGACTCAGTAGGTGCGAGGCATTTTCTCTTACAAAGTGATGCCAAGTCATTCTTAGGGTCAGGGAAGTGTGAGGAGTCGGGGCAAGACTTGAGATCCTGACGTCACTAACACTTAGATGATTCATGAGCAGAGGCAAGAACTTGAAATGAGGAACAGTCTGAAAATGTTTTGCAAAGATTTTCACTTTTTTGAGAGAACAAGACACGGTCTGGAATACAATGCGAAGGTGAACTTTTCCGTTAGTGAGGAAGAGGTTCCCCAAATTTACCAGCAGATGGCGCAATAAAACAAGAAATAGGTGCTTATGGCTGAACTGGGGAGAATGTGACCCCTAAGGACACGGGAGGCTGAAGGAATTATTTTCCCACCGTGTTTATTCTCCGGATGCCGGAAAATAAAAAAAGTCCTTGCAGCTGTTACCGAGATGGTGAAGCAGCAGCCAAGCACGTCTAGTGTGATCTACGAACAGCCCACTGTAAGGACAGAAGCAACTGGGGAAACTGTGGTTTCAAAGTTGTCTGTATCCAACCGGAACCCTTGTGCCACCTGTTATTGGACGTGACTGGAAATTGCGGACGAATACAGACCCTCCTCTGGGAGCTGCCATCCCAGGGGGTGGCCAGGAGGTGCCGAAGTCCTGGGGGCTCTGCGGGTCATTTGCTAGGATAACCTGAGCCCCCGGCACGGTGGCCTCCCTGGTCACGGCAGATGCACGGGGCTGGGAGAGTGTATGCCTGAGAGAGGTGAGGAGGAGCAGGCGAGGACATGCGCAGTAGACCAGGCTCTAGAGATGAATACGAAGGAAGCCCCTTTGGTGTGCCCAGCCCTGCTGTCCTCTGGGGGACAATTGGAGGTGAAGGGACCGAGGCACAGGGAGGCTGAGAGGCGACTGTGCCGTCCTAGCTAGCTCTGGGCACAGAATGCATTCTCAGGGTGCTGGGGCTGTGTTATTTCATGAGTGGTTTTGGTTTTTGATTGAGGCTAGTGGTGCATTCAGTCTGCAATCCCTCCCTCAGCCGCCTCCACCCTGAGCCAGGGCAGTGGTGCTTTCCCCCTCGGCCCTCACCCCTGCTCTCTCTGCCTCCTGCCTGGCCTTGGGTTCACCACACACTGCCTTCCGAGCCCACCCAGGCTGCGGCACCCCCCCCCCCATCGCCTCTCTGTCTCCTCCTGGCACGGCTGTCCCTGCCCTCAAGTGACCCCACTGGCCTTCCTCCCTCCTGGGGATGTTGGGGCCATTTGTCAGAAGCTGTCTGCGTCCACCTTTCGGTCTGCAGCGGCAGCTGGAGCCCCTTGTCTGTCTGCTCCCTCTCCCCGGGGTTTCTGTCGACTGCCTGTTTCTGTATCCCTCTTGCACGTGACACTACCTGGCCATCCCTGCCTTAAAAATGCAGGAGAGCCGGGCTCTCAATGCTGTGCCCCCATGTTTGTGCCAGCATTGTCACAGTAGCTACGGCGGGGGAGCCCGAGTATCCTGGACCCATGACTGGATCCACAAAATGTGGGGCCTCTACACAGTGGAGTTCTACTCAGCCTTGAAAAGGAAGCAGACCGGGATCTGGCCTGAGCATGGGAGGACCCTGAGACGGGATGCTGAGGGACAGCAGCAGACCTGAGGGACTGTGCGGCCCGCTTTCCCGAGGAATGCAGAGAGGTGCAGTTACGGGAGACAGTCGGAGGTGGCTGCCAGGGCCTTGGGCAGAGGCTAATGGTTGCAACAAACGGGCACAGTCCCGGATCCTCCAGGTGGAGAGGTCACGCGTGGCTGACCCTGCGGTCTTCTGCACTCGCGCTCACAGATGGCTACAAGGGCAGACTCGTCTCACGTGCAGTTTACCATGGTAAGAAAATTAGAAAAAACCCAAAGCAGAAAGAGGAAACCAAGCACGCCCGACCCTGCCCCTTCCTCTTTGGGCACCGCCTGGGAGGAACAGCTCTGGAGGCTCCTCCCCTTCCTGCCCTCCCTTGCCCTCTGTGTGGACAGAGACAGCCCCAGCTCTACGACCTGCTGGCTCTGAGTCCCAGGGTCCCTGTTGCCCACTGCCAGCCACACCTCTGGGGGTGCTGCCTGCTCTGCTGCCTCAGCACCCCTGGGTTCTGGCCTCCTCCCGCAGCGCGGCTGTCCATCCTGGCTTGGCCCTGGTCTCTGCTCTGCTCCTGTCTGTGACGCTGGAGCCCTGAGCAGAGGGCTTCCCAGAGTGCAGATCCTAATTCCAGCCCCAACCTGCTGAGCCAGAGCTCTGGCCGGCAGGGCCATGTGCCTGCGGCAGATGGGTTCCAGGAGGCCCGGATCGGCATCCCGGGAGCGTGGAGCAGGGGCCACGCCTGCCTGGCTGCTCCTGACCTCTGGGGCTGGCACACTCGTTGCCGAGACTTTCGGTAGCAGCTTCAGCACACCTGCCCGCGTCCCTGACTGACACTGCCCGCCTGCCACAGGAGGCAGGGCAGGACTTCTGCCTGTACTAGCTTCTAAACATAAGGCGAATGCTAGGCTTTACTAACAGGGCCATGCCCTGGTCCCAAGACCCCAACATGTACCAGAGCCCTTGATGCTCAGGTCCCTTAGGGGAAGAGGTGCAGTGTTGCAAGGTCTTGTCTTGTACATCCAGAGTGGAGGTGGTGCCACCGGGTGGAGGGCTTGGGCTGTCAGCAGCAGCAGTGACCTGCCTCGGCTGGGGCCCCACAGGCCTACTCTAAACCAGCCTTCCCCATGGGCTGTGGCCTGACATAGCTCCCCGGGCCACGTCACAGGCGGGAAAATGCAAATGACATGACCACACGTGGACCCCAGGAACGGGCCCAAGCGATGCTTCTCCGTGGTGAGCCATGGCAGACCACCTGCTGGCCCAGTGTGGGAGGCCACATGGTTACCAAATACAGATGTTTAAAGGGCATGTTTCATGTTCATCTTTTTGGGGGAGAGGGAACAGAGTCCACCTCTCCAGCCCCCAAGCATAGGCTCTTAAGTATGAATACAAAACAACATAATTGCTGTATAAGTGCAGCTTTGAAATAAGTCAGGGTCCAGAGCAGAAAGGAGATTCAGAATTCAGCCAGGGCCCCATTGGTTTGGACAAACACGCAGCCTGTCATGGTACACTTTCCGGGTCAGGGTTTTGAGGTACTGATGACCCTAAAATTAGGGAGCTTTCGTATTTATCCATCCCTGGTTGATCTCTAATCTGAACAAAGCTGCATCTCCACCTCTACCTGGGTTGTTTTATGTTAGAAGAAATTGTCCCAGCCTTTCTGCATCTGTGAACTGCAAAGCGTGCCGATTGGAGTGGGCTTTGAAAAGTGCCATTTTCAAAATAAAGTTCATATTGTCTCAAACCACAGTCCTAAAGCCACACACATGGAATCACATTTGTCGGTGGAAATTTCCATTTCTCCCTGTGGTTGCTAACACAGAAGTCCTGGATTTCTAACTGTGTAAACTGTGTGTGTCTTGTGGGAATCTCAGCGGGCACAATCAGACCAGGTAGGAGTAAGTCTGGTGGTGAGGTATGAATCTCATCTTATCTCTCTCTAATTATTTTCATATTGATGCCTTTGAAATTTCATCCATCTTCAATTATTTAAATACAAAGAGCAAAAGTAAAATTCTTGCATTTTGTTTGCTACAGAATCACAGCAGATTAGACTGAGCTGTTGGACATGATGAGCCACTGTCCAGGGACCTCGTTCCTGTGTTGATGAGCAGTCTCCCAGAGAATTGCACTGGCAGCATGCCTCGGAGTGCATGGCTTAGATCTACAATGGCCTTCAGAAGTCTCCTGTGTGTATGAATGGTGACTAGGTCACAGGGCACCATATTCATCAGCGTCCTTCCATG